ATGTTGTGTGGATGCGCCGATGCCGGAAGAGCGTGTTGGTAATTACAAGCTCATGGGCTGCACAAAAATCTAGCAGCCTCCTACCGTTATTATTGAGCTGATCTGGCCCATGCCTTCCAATCACTCCAGACCAGGTACCAGCATCATGACCAACTCGGGCATTGAAGTCACCCAACAAGATGACTCTGTCCCGAGTGGCCACTTTAGCCAGCACCTGTGACAGGAGGTCATAGAAAGAGTCTGACTCATCGGCTTTGCCTGCATCCCTCCACGGATGTTCGTCTTCGGTGGGGGCATAAGTAACCACGACCACCACTCCTCGCCTCTGGTTGATGGGAAGGCGAGCCCAAAGTATCCTGGGGCTTACAGCTTCCCACACCTCACCGCCACGCTCCCACGCCCCCTTCATTCTTTTGTTCAGAAGAAGAGCCACACCCTGTTGTTTGGCAGTCTCCTGCCCCGAGTAGAGGACTGTCCACCCCTCATGGTGGCAGGAGCCAGAACCGGTCCACCGGACCTCCTGAATGCCACAGAGATCCAGGCGGTACCGGTCCAGCTCCCGACAGAGGAGTGGCAGCCTCTCCTCCGCAGTGAGCGTTCGAACATTCCACGTGGCCACACGTAGTGGTTTTTTGTTGTTTCTGGAGGAGCCCCGAGGGTGAAAATTCAATCTCCTGGCTCCGCCAAATGGGGTTTGGCCAGGAGACGTCATAAAAGCCTGACCCCCCGGGGCCTCCGGCACAAGCTTATTTGTTACAGGTTTATGTTTAATTCGTGGTTTAGTGGTGGTTAATTGAAGGTGGAGGGGTTACCAGCCCCTCACACCCGTCCAGAGCCCCCGTTAAGCCACTGTGGTGGTCACAGACGCCATGAGGGGAGAGGCCAATGGGCATTGGCCCTCCCCCCACAGCACTGCCCACGACAGTGTTGCCCGTCCGGCACCGCGAGGAGGTAGGAGGTTGTTTTGCCGGACACACATGTACACACACGCGCACACACACAGGTACACACACACAGGTACACACACACGTACACACACACATACATACACGTACACACACACAGATACACACACACACGTACACACACACGTACACACACACGTACACACACGTACACACACGTACACACACAGATACACACACACGTACACACACACATACACACACGTACACACACACAGATACACACGTACACACACACAGATACACACACACATACACACACGTACACACACACAGATACACACACACGTACACACACACGTACACACACACACGTACACACACATACACACACGTACACACACACGTACACACACACAGATACACACACACACGTACACACACACGTACACACACACAGATACACACACACACGTACACACACACATACACACGTACACACACACAGATACACACACGTACACACACACAGATACACACACACACGTACACACACACAGATACACACACACACGTACACACACACAGATACACACACACGTACAAACACACGTACACATTGCTGTGAGGCTGTCAAAACCGAAATGTTGAATTCTCAGAGCTGGAATTTAGCCACATTAAGTGAAGAACCAACCATCCATGAGATGAGGGGGGGGGGAGGGGGGCTGTTTGTGCAGACGTTGACGATCGGACGGAGATCATCAACTCGCTAACCGCGAGGACGCGGTTGAATGACGGGCGGCTAACGCCTGGAGTTCGAACGCGGGGATCTCAGCGGCACTCGATGCAGTCCATCAACAGCCCCCTTCAATTGCGTTCTCCTTGGGCTCTGGCGCAGTACCTGGGTCAATGCGATCAATGGGACGCGCTCTGCAAAGTGGACAAATTATCAGGGTCACTGCACACCGGCCCTTTTAATTGCTCGGTGCGCGTGAAAGTTCAATTCGGAGGCAGTGGCAGACGAAGGTGGAGCAAACACCGAAAAGTGCGCGAAGCGGCGACGGGAGGGATGGATGCGTGCGCGGGGAGTGGCGTCCAGAGACGGAGAGAGGATAGCGTGGGTTAGGGGGTTGGGGAAAGTAGGGCAGGGTTAAAGATGCCGTTCGCAGCGTGAAGTGAAGTAGAGTGCACGTGGGCAGGACGCGTCACGGCTCGAAGTGACGATGGCAGACGGTCAAGATCAGTTACGGAGTGGCAGCCGAGGGATGGAATGCGTGCAAGAGGGCGAGGGGGGTGGAGCGATGAAGCGGTTTGCCGCTGCTGGGCGGACGGTCGCATCGCAGTACCGTGAGAAATGTTGACGGCGTGGGGCGGCCTTCATCCAGCAGTGGATCGAGCAAGGCTGATGATGTATGTACGTGCAACTTCTTTCGCACCGTACGTAGCCAACCGCGCTAATCGCAGGTGCGGCGGAAGGGCAACAAACTAAACACAAAATGCGGTTCTAAAGAAATTCGTTTTCAACCTGGCTTGATTTTGAAGTGCATAGCTCCAGTGGATTCCTGAAGGAAGAGCGTTCCAGACGGCCGCAGAAGCGCATCTGAAAGCGCAATGGACCATAAGGGGAGCGAAATAAACTTCCACGTTTGTGCGTTCCATGACCGTGGCGGGCGAATGGTACGACACACACACTCCCTCCCACTCCCTCCACCTTGCGCTAATCATCATATCGGTCGCGAAAGTTTATTTCTTCCCCAGATTCAGGGGCACCCCGTTGGTCTGGGTCCCCCCCCCCACCTCCAGCGAGCATCCCCACGGACCTGCCGTGCGTCTGCCCTGGTCCGCGTGGCTGTTAGGCAGGAGATTTATCGCGCGGCCTCCAGGCTGAAAACGTTGAGGCTGCTGCTCGTTTGTAATAAATGCAAGGTAAAAGAATACAGTGCGCTTTATAGATTTCACCATCACCGCCGCCGCCTCATCCTCCCTCTCTCTCGCTTTCTCTGCCCTCCATTGCGCACACTTTACGGCGTGGCAATGACAAAGACAAAGATCCCCCGTATAGCCTGTAACAGAGTGTTGGGGCAAGTGCTGTTCGCGAGCATCTGTGCTGGCCGGAACGGCACACGAGGGGGTGGGTGGCCAGCACCACGCTCGGCCTCACTGACGATTATCTGAACCGGTCTTGGGCCGACTCCTAGGTCGACTCAGCCTCAAATGAGGACCTGATGTGGTGTGTAAACATCGCCCACTGAAGACAAAAGCAGCACCACCAAACAAAGACAAAGATCCCCAGTATAGCCTTAACAGACCTTAGGGGCAAGTGCTGTTAGCGAGCACCTATGAAGGCCGGAACGGCACGCGAGGGGGTGGGTGGCCAGCACCACGCCCGACCGCCTTTGTCTCCCCAGTGGCGATGTTTACACACCGCACCAGGTACTCATTTGAGGCTGAGTCGACCTAGGGGAGGCCTAGGACCGGTGCAGATAATCGTCACTGGTGTTGACCGTGAGCGGGAATGGAACCCGGGTCGCCTGGTTCAAAGCGCAGCGCGCTAACCGCTACACTACCGCTCCCCCCCACACACACACACATACGAGCACACCCACGCTTCCACTGGTTCACTAGAACCTATAAAATAAAAACTCAACAGTATATTAACTCGAAGCACATTACGCACATAATGACGCTCGTCTCACATTCCGAGGCCAGGCGAGAATGATTGAATATCTCAATCAGAGTCTGGTCGGAGCGTCTCACAGCACCGGCGAGCTGGAGTCGCACTGCGCTCATCGGCCAACTACTACTGGTCCTGAGCCATTCTGTGGACACGTTTATCCGTAGATCAATCACCGTTCATTGATTGAATGAATCAATGAATGTCATCGATACAAAATAATATGAATAAGTGGTCATAATAAGAACAAAATGTTTAACACGTAAGAGGCTTTCACGACCAATATTATCCATAAGAGGTGTTTTTTTTGGGGGGGGGGGGTGGACAGCGTAAATATAAACTTGTCGTTAAACCCGCCACCACCCGATACAGCCAATTTGTAAGGTGGGGAGAGAAAACCGGAGTACCCGGATAAAAACATCCACGCGACCATGGGGAGAGACACGCAAGCTCCAAATATACAGCTGCAGGCAACAGGGTCGGGATCGAACCCACGACCTCCTGTATACCAGGTGATGTAGTTAACATCTCCTAGCCACCGTGATGATGATGAGAGAGAGAGAGAGACACGCAAACTCCAAATATACAGCAGCAGGTGTCAGGGTCGGGATCGAACCCACGACCTCCTGTATACCAGGCGAGGTAGTTAACATCTCATAGCCACCGTGATGCTGAGAGAGACACGCAAACCCCAAATATACAGCAGTAGGCGTCAGGGTCGGGATCGAACCCACGACCTCCTGCATACCAGGCGAGGTAGTTAACATTTCCTCGCCACCGTGATGATGAGAGAGAGACACGCAAACTCCAAATATACAACAGCAGACATCAGGGTCGGGATCGAACCCACGACCTCCTGTACACCAGGCGAGGTAGTTAACATCTCCTAGCCACCGTGATGATGAGAGAGAGACACGCAAACTCCAAATACACCGCAGCAGGCAACAGGGTCGGGATAGAACCCACGACTTCCTGCACACCAGGCGAGGCAGTCAACATCTCCTAGCCACCGTGATGATGATGAGAGAGAGAGACACGCAATCTCCAAATATACAGCAGCAGGCGTCAGGGTCGGGATCAAACCCACGACCTCCTGCACACCAGGCGAGGTAGTCAACATCTCCTAGCCACCGTGATGATGATGAGAGAGAGAGAGAGAGACACGCAAACTCCAAATATACATCAGGCGTCAGGGTCGGGATCGAACCCACGACCTCCTGTATACCAGGCGAGGCAGTTAACATCTCCTAGCCACCGTGATGATGAGAGAGAGAGACACGCAAACTCCAAATACACAGCAGCAGGCGTCAGGATCGGGATTGAACCCACGACTTCCTGCACACCAGGCGAGGTAGTCAACATCTTGCTCCATCGCAGACAAGGCCCCGTCACGGGGGAGCCGCTGACGCCGTCGCGCGCACCTTGAGCGTGCGGTCGCGGGAGCCGCTGACGAGGAGGCCGTCGCACAGGAATCCGAGGCCCCGCACGGGGCCGCCGTGGCCCGAGAGTGCGGCCACGCAGCGGCCGCTCGGCGCCTCCCACACGCGCACCGTGCCGTCGCGGCCTCCGCTCGCCACGCTCGTGCCGCGCACGCAGACGCACGTCACCCTGCGGGGGGGGGGGGGAGATGTGGGGGGGGGGGTGAGAGAGCGGGGAGAGATGGAGAGAGATGGAGAGATGGAGAGAGAGAGTGGGGAGAGGGGGGGAGAGATGTGGAGAGAGATGGGGGAGAGATGGGGGGAGAGGTGGAGAGAGATGGGGGAGAGAGAGGGGAGATATGGAGAGAGAGTAGGGAGAGAGAGGGGGAGAGATGGAGAGAGAGAGGAGAGAGGTGGAGAGAGATGGGGGAGAGAGATGGGGAATAGAGGGGGGAGATGGAGCAAGAGGGGGGGAGATAAGAATTATGTATTTGCCCAGGAAAGCCACACTGAATCTGAAGACATTTCCAGGAGGGTCCTGCCGTTACATTGGGATGTTTGGCTAGCACCAAGTACATTGCACGTGTGTTTATTTATTGGAGAAAATCAGAGACCCCGGGGGGAACCCACGTGGCGCAAGGAAAGAGCATATACCGACTCCACAGAGGAAGTTTCGAATGTCAGAAATCGAACCCAGGCCCTGTTTGGTGCGAGGCACAAGGATTAGTACCACGCATCAAGACGGCAGCGAGACACGCAGCGAGGGGAGTCGGGGAGATGCAGAGACGGCATGTGAAGTGGGAGTCGAGTCGATATCGGTATGTATGTAAGTCTAACTTCTTTCGCGCCGTACGTTGCCAACCTTGCTAATCGGAGGTGCGGGGGAAAGGGCAGCAAACATAACGCAGTTGTAAAAAAATGAGTTTTGAATAAAGATGTAAAAGCGCATAACTCCAGTGGCTTCCCAATATCGGAAGCAAGCGCGTTCCAGACGGCCGCAGACGCGCGCGATGCGGTGGCCACCGTCTCGGTTCGATGGCGGAGCCAAAAGCCGCCGCCACTGCTGCTTCGAGGGTGACCGGGAGCTCGCGTGATGATGCTTTTCATGCTCCTCCGACGAGATCGGCGAGGTGCGATGTCCCCCGTGATGGGTCACGGTGGGACTCCTTCTAGTTCCGCGCGGCAGGGTCAAGGGGTCACACGGGTCAGAGGACCCCATCATGTCGCGCGTCATTGGCCAATGCGACCTTTTGACATTTGGCAAACAACAACAACAAAAGCGCTCGCAGTCACCGTCGTCAAGCACGCGGCAGATCGCCGAGGGGGGCGTGCGGGGATACTCATTGCGTGGCGGAGTTTGTTTGGATCGCGCACGAATTGAACTGAGACATTCAGAGGCGCGGGGGAATGAGTTTACGGGAAAGAGAACGAAAAGAGGGAATTGGTTCAATCTTGATTTGAAGCTTTCGTGACTGCAGGAACCCATCCTCTCTGGTTCTTTCGGTAAAGTCACGTAGTTAGAAAAATAAAATACAATAAAACAAATCACAACGTTTCGATCGCAACACAAGCAATCGTCATCAGGTGGGACCACTACAGCAAGCACAGATGTGTGAAAACCCTCCCCGAATGAACCAAAGAGTATGGATTCCTGCAGTCACGAAAGCTTAAAATCAAGATTGAAAAGAGAGAAGTGACGCCACGGACGCCCGCCATGTGCGGCGCAGTGAGAGTGGAGGAGCGAGTGAATACCAGACGACCGGTGTTGTTACAGGGTCTCTATGCGAGTCGGTGGGTCTCTGTGTTAGTCTAAGAGTCTTTGAGTGAGATTATGGTCTCTACGTGAGTCTAGGTCTATGGGTCTCTCTGTGAGTATATGGGTGTCTTAGTGAGTCTATTGGTCTCTGTACGAGTCTATGGATCTCTACGTGAGTCTGTGTGAGTCTATGGTATCTATGTGATAATTTGGGGTGTCTGAGGGAGTGTATGGGTCTTTGTGCGAGTCTATGGGTCTCTATGTGAGTCTATGAATCTACGGGTCTCTCTGTGGGTATATGGGTGTCTGAGTGAGTCTATGGGTCTCTCTGTGAGTCTATGTGTCTCTACGTGAGACACTTGAGATTATTGTTGCGTGTGAGTGAATGAGTGAGTGTGTTTGTGTGCAGACGCGCTGTGAAACATCGAGGATGAAGGCATCCGGGCGCGTGGCGTTGCCGCCCCCCCTCGTGTGCCGTGCCGGCCTTCATAGGCTGCTACTCGCTAACGTGTTACACAGACGATCTTTGTCTTTGCACTGGAGAGCATTGCAGTCGTCCATGTAGCAGTATAGCCGTCTTCCCCTTTCCGCCACCGGCATTCCCTCTCCAGCGTACACACAACGATCTCAGAGCACTATGAGACCTCCTTTACCAGTGGCAAAATATATTCATAGGTTTTTACCCTTTAAACTGGTACAAAACTGACACCATTTTGACTGCTTGTGTTACGGTTATTGCAAACATGATGCCTTGTATAAAGGTGTCAGTTTTGTACCAGTTTAAATGGTAAAAACCTATTACTAGATCTCAAAGCACTTAACCTCACACGGGCTGCCTTTCGATGGCAATGGAAACTCTTATCGCAAGAGAGGAGGGGGGGTAGGCTGGGTGATGCCCAGTCAAACCCAGACTGGGATTCGAACACACAAAGGACCACCGGTCCCCGGCACGCTCGCGAGCTGTAATTGAAGGCGCTGGGGCCTATAATTGGCTGTTTTGGAACGTTTTTAAATGCAAACTGCACCACGGTAATCTCCGCATGCATAATACATCGGCGATCAATCCATCGCGTGAACGTGTGTACTTACCTGCACCCGTAACTCAAATGTTTACGCGCGCGTGCACACGTGTCGACATTCACACGAAGGCCTACAGCGACATACACCAACAACAAAGAGGCCCCCGGTGTTGCCTTGAACGGGATGTTGGGGCAAGTGTTGTTAGCGAGCACCTATGAAGGCCGGCATGGGTGGCCAGCGCCACGCTCGACCGCCTTTGTCTCCCCAGTGGCGATGTTTTACACACCGCACCAAGGTTACTCATTTGTGGCTGAGTCGACCTAGGGTGGTGTTGGCCGTGAGCGGGCATAGAACCCAGGTCACCGCGTTCGTGGCACAGCGGGCTAACCACGACGCCAGGGACGTGCGGTCAGGTGAGGCAGGGGAGGCAGAGCCTCACCTGACATACTCCAATGATAATAGCTGTTACGAAAAGTAAAAAAAAAGAATAATCAAATAAAATTAATATTAAGATTGTTCCACTGATCTGTGTTATAAATGTCATTTCTGTACGATTCCAATCATTTTTATAGTCAAAATCGCCAAATTAGCGGAGCTGCAAATACCGGAAGAGACGAGAGGTGAGGCAGCGACGAGCTCAGCCTCCCCTCTGATTGCGCAACCCCACAGTAACTGGACGGAGCGCGGGCAATAAGCGCGTGCCTGTTAATATCTCAGTATGTCACCAACGTAATGTTTGTAGACCCCTTCATTTCCTGTCCTCGCCTTCCATACTCCAGGTAACTTATTTCACGTATGTGTATGAAGATATTTAGGCTCGCTGGTCTCGTCATGAAACTGCAATGAAAAAGCACCAGGGGAGGCAGCCATCACATCTGCCTCACTGAGGGGGACGTGTCTAACACGCCTCCCTCAGTGAGGCCACGCCCCCCTCAGTGAGGCCACGCCCCCCTCCGTGTGTGAATCTGGCTCTGACACGAGCCAGTGGCCAGTGCTCCCCAGCCATTGACCTCACCGCACATCACTGCACTACGCTACCACTGCCCACAGACACACACGTAAGTATACACCTCTATCCATACACACACACAGCGTCATCATCAACCATGTTCTTTCCGCTGCTGGATGAAGCAACCCCCCCCCCCAAGCCATCACCATCTCTCGCAGTCCCGCGATGTACCAAATTCGCCCAGAACCGGCACGCGAACTGACTTCATCGCTCCATCTCCACGAGGACGGCTCCCATTCTCGCTTTCTTTCTTTACACACGGACACCAAAGAACCCACAACTCGCTTACACACAGACCCCACACAACCACCAACTCGCCTACACACAGACCCCACACATCCCCCAACTCACTTACACGCACAGCGACCACGACGGACATGACGACAGCCGCCGTTCGCAAACGAAGCGGCGGCGACGCGATTACCCACAGCGCTTCGTGCCAGGCCGGGTGCACTTTGAGGTCATCGCGACAAGCATCGTGCACAGAACTCGCTGGCAGGAGGTCACGGGATGGGCCCGGGTGTTACGGGTTGGCTGACCAGACGATTCCGTTATGGGGTTAACTGACCGGGCCATTCTGTTATGGGGTTAACTGACCGGGCCATTCTGTTATGGGATAGCTGACCGGGCGATTTCGTTATGGGGTTAGCTGACCGGGCCATTCCGTTATGGGGTTAACTGACCGGGCGATTCTGTTATGGGGTTAGCTGACCGGGCCATTCTGTTATGGGTTAACTAACCGGGCCATTCCGTTACGGGGTTCGCTGACCGGGCCATTCTGTTGCACTAACACCCAAACACAAACGCACGCGCGCACGCACTCTCCCTGGACGTAGCAGAGGTGGCGTGCTTATCTTCAGAGTGGAGGATTGTCTGTGTGCGTGCGTGTGTGTGCGTGTGTGTGCGTGTGCGTGTGTGCGTGTGTGTGCGTGCGTGTGTGTGCGTGTGTGCGTGTGTGTGTGTGCGTGTGTGCGTGTGTGTGCGTGTGTGTGTGCGTGTACGTGCGTGTGTGTGCGTGTGTGTGCGTGCGTGGGGGGGTTCTAATTCTGCCTAGGAGCCCTCATCACCGGCACCCTGCTAATCGAGTTGTTGGCACGCCATAAAAAAACACCGCGGTGTCTTAATTTAATATCATTTTCCGGCGAACAACTCAAACAAACCGTAATTAAAATCTTAATCTCTGAAATATCTTCGAGGATTTTTGCGTTACGGGACGTGGGAGGGTGGGGCTGTGCACCCACCCACCCCTGCCGAGTGACAATTACCGATTTACAAATTTGTCATCCAGACCACAGGCGTTCTCAACTGCTCACTCCGCTCCAAAGGAAACTGAAATATTCCCTTCCGGCCATCTCAGGCTGTCCGCGCTGCGCCGAGGGACCCACACACACATATGTAACGCGCACATGGCCCGCTCGCTCTGAGACAGAGAGGTTCTGGAGAGGCGCCCAGACACCACGGCGTTGGCCGTGAGCGGCAATCGAACTCGGGTCGCCCGGGTTCGTAACGAGGCGTGCTGACCGCTACACTACACGCGTACAAAGACGCAAAGATCCCCCGTGTAGCCTTAACAGACTGTCAGGGGGGGGGGGGGGCAAGCATTGTTAGCAAGCACACACACTCCACTCAAACACACTCCACTCCACTCGCACACACACTCCACATACACACACTTCACATGCACACACTCCACTAGCACACACTCCACTCCACTCGCACACACATACTCCACACACACACTCCACACACACACACTCCACTCCACACACACACACTCTAATCACACACACCCACTCGCACACACACACTCCACACACACACTCCACACACACATACACTCTAATCACACACCCACTCGCACACACACTCCACACACACACTCCACACACACACATACACTCTAATCACACACCCACTCGCACACACACACTCCACACACACACCCACACACACACACTCCTCTCACACACTCCACACACACTCCACTTCACTCACACACACTCCACACACACACACTCCACACACACACACACTCCACTTCACTCACACACACTCCACACACACACACTCCACACACACACATACATACACTCTAATCACACACACACACTCCACTCGCCCTCAAACACACCACACACACTCCACACACACACTCCACACACACACACTCCACACACACACTCCACTCGCCCTCACACACACCACACACACTCCACACACACACTCCACACACACACACTCCACACACACACACTCCACACGCACTCCACACACACACACACACACTCCACACACACACACACTCCACACACACACACACACTCCACACACACTCGCACACACTCCACACACACACTCCACTCACACACACATACACTCTAATCACACAAACACACTCGCACACACTCCACACACACTCGGCGTGCACCGCTCTTAAGCCCCAGCGGGCACTCTCCTCTGCCCGTGCGCTCTGCTCCGTGGCGCGAGATCAAATTCACAGTGGCGTCTACGATTCCGCATAAATCGCATTTCAGGAATATAAAAAAATGCCTCGGGCATCTGGTTACTGCTGTTGAGGTTTTTTTTATTCAGGTTTCTTTTCTTCCTTCCAGGTTCCCGTCTGCAGCCGGCTCGTGTCGACTGACCGATTTCAGGATATATTCGTGCAATTACAGGCGGCATTGATTACTCTCCAGAATGCTTCTCCTGTTTCCACTTTTCCAGTGGAGCGTAGAGAGAGAGAAAAGGTACCGCGCATTATTCGTAGGTTGATAGGACGGGCGAGGGTCGGGCAACTTTCCTCTCGATGATTTATGGCGAATGTCCCCCACCACCCCAACCGCTTATAGTATTGCATTCTGCGTATTCGTGGTAATAATTGGACGGAGCGCGTTTCTTGTTTAAATCAACAGCATGCCAACATTGCTGCGTTATCTCGAAGCTCAAGGTGGCAAAGGCGCAGGCCCTGCAATAGCTTCGTTTACGCCACCGCTGGCCCAAGGGCTCCTCCGCCGTCGGTGGAGCTCCCCGACAGACCCTTCCCCTGGGCGTTTTGGCCTACTCTTCCACACAGGTCACGCCTCTCGGTCGAGTTTGGGAATTAGCCCACACTTCACCCCGCCGCATGGCGTGTGTGACATGCCGGTCCACTGAACCGTGGCTGGGTGGTGGCCGGGAGGGGGGGGTTATAGAAACGCTGCTTCATCTGCCGTGTGGAGAGTTGTTATAACGCTCTGACCCCGTGCCCCCGTACTGGACATCTGTGCAAAAAGAGCTTCAACGCTCATCGGATTCCTCCTGCTGTCTAAATCAATATTCTGGATCGAACCAGCGACCTCAGTGAGCTGTTGAGGGCTGCACTAGCAGACACCTAAAACACGGCCAATGTCAAGTTGTCCGGGGCTAGGCTTGGCACTGTTTGATGATCGGACAACACGCAGACGGACGGACAGACACACGGACAGATACATGGACACACGGACAGACGGACAGACACACGGACAGATACACAGACAGACGGACAGATAGACACACGGACAGACACACAGACACACGGACAGACACACAGACACACGGACAGATACACGGACACACGGACAGACGGACAGATAGACACACGGACAGACACACAGACACAGACAGACGGACAGATACACAGACAGACGGACAGATAGACACACGGACAGACACAGACACACTGACAGATACACAGACACACGGACAGACGCACGGGCAGAGACAGATGGACGGACAGACGGACAGACGGAGCTTCGCGCAACAACAACAACAACAACAAACAAACTCGCAACCTTAATTGGAAAGAGTAAAAAAATAAAAAAAATCGTGTTTGCACGCCGCATGGCTTAGCCCGTGCCGCGTGCGGGGGGGGGGGGGTCCCGGGGGGGTGGGAATGGGGGGAGGGTCCCGGGGGGAGGGGGGGGAGACTGTGACGTACGTGCCGACGTGCCCGCTTAGCAGCAGCCGCTGCCTGTAGGCGCCCTCGTCCCAGTTGCGCCGCGTGCGCACCGCGCGCCAGTAGGCGGCTCGCCAGCGCGTCGACGAGGACGAGGACATCGAGGAGGAGGAGCTCGTGACGTCGAGCGCCGTGACTGTCGAGTAGACAATAAACACGATGATGATGATGACGGCGGTGATGATTATTAAAACATTTTTTAAATGATTTTAGCGCAGTTAAATTTCGATTTAAAGCTTTCGTGACTGCACGGATTCATCATCTTGGTTCTTTCGGTAAAGTCACGTAGAAGGGAAATAATAAAATAATAAAAATAAAACATAATATAATAAAGTTTTATTTTTATTATTTTATTAAAATACGTAAGTATTGTATTATGTTTAATTTTTATTATTTTATTATTTCCCTTCTACGTGACTTTACCGAAAGAACCAAAATGATTTAGCGCAGTTGTTAATTGCAGAATTCCCTAAGGCTCTCGATCGCCAAGGAAGGCGCCCGCTATGTTTTTTTTCCGCAAACGTAGCTAGCGGCAGTTTGAGAGTAGAGAGGAGGGAGAGGGCGATGTTTATGTGCGTGCACGTGTCATCACAAATTACAGGTTGAGTTTGTCCACATGCGGCACATTCGAACATTCGTAGCACGCCGCGGGAACACGTGCCGCTCCCCTCGCCCGCGTGAGCGTCGCTGGATCGTTACCGCCCACGCACAGGACAGACGAGCGGCGCATTCACAGTTTTTAAACACGCACCGCAGTTATAACCGGGGCGGCTAACCGGATTCGAGCCGCGAGGGGCGGGGATGATGGGGTCACGGCTGCACGAAAATACAAATGCAATACCCAATGCAACTTGGATTTCTATGCGAACTGGAGAGACGCGTGCTCTGCGGGAACAGTGTGCGTATTTATTTTACGCAGAGGCCGCAGTCGGCCACAAGCAGAGGGGTCGACAAGAGGGGTGATCTTGAACTTGTCATAGAATAAGGGGGCCGTCCATAAATGACGTCACGCGATTTTGGACGATTTTTGACCCCCCTCGTCACAAAAAGTCAGACCCCCCCCACAAAGCTCTGCCCCCCCAAAATAAATATAAAACATGCTTCAAATCGCTTTAAACTATTGTCATTGTAGTGCGTAGTTAATGTGGCGCTGGACTCTGATGTTGTATTTATTTATTTAAAGTTGCGCATTTTGATGCGACGTCACATTTCTCAACCCCCCCCCCCATCGTCACACATTGTCACAAATGTCTGACCCCCCCCCCCTAGGTGCGTGACGTCATTTATGGACGGCCCCTAAGGGCAGGGAGTCGGCAGCGATAGACTCTTGCTTAGGCCCCCGTCTTCAAGGCAAGCTGAGTTGTATCTTGGGCACGAGCCCCAACTCGGGTTGCTAGTTGTATCTGTTTACTCACGATCGGCCCTCTTACTCAAGGTATCTTTTATATAATAATAATAATATTATCATTTTAACACGTAGGTTTTCGCGACCAATATTATTAATAATATAGGTTTTTGGGTCAGATCGCGTTATTTTATAAATGTGTCGTAACCCTCCACCATCCGACACGGCCAAACAGTAAAACAAGTGTCACGTTTTTCAAAGGACAAAATAATTATTCTTAGGTTTTTTCGGTAAAGTCACGTAGGTAAAAAAATGTAATTAAAATTAATAAAAGTAAAATAATATAAAAATAAAATAAAAATCACGACGTTTCGGAGGCAACACAAGCTTCCGTCTTCAAGTGGAACCGTCACAGCACGCTTGCTGTATCATTTACTTGATACATTTACTTGATACAGCTATCGTGCTGTGACGGTTCCACCTGAAGACGGAAGCTTGTGTTGCCTTCGAAACGTCGTGATTTTTATTTAATTTTTATTTAATTTTACTTTTATTAATTTTAATTTTTTACCTACGTGACTTTACCGAAAAAAACCTAAGAATATGAATCCTTGCAGTCACGAAAGCTTCAAATCTAGGACAAAATAATTCCCCTCTTTGCCGAGAATCACTGCACCAGATTGAATTAAATGATGACGTCACCCTGCTGCTGCTCTATTTAAGACCGGGAGCAACAGGAGAGCTTCACCATTCTTGCCCGATGAAGCTGATTGTAATTGCCAGCGAAACGTCTTACGACTCAAATTTTTAAAATGCTCTTGATTCTCTCTTCAATACACCGGTGGGCTAAAGAGGTGAATTATTTTGTCCTTTGAAAAACGTGACACATTTTTTTACTGTTTGGCCGTGTCGGGTGGTGGAGGGTTACAACACATTTATAACTAACGCGATCTGACCCAAAAACCTATATTATAAGTATTATCATTGGCGTTATTATCAGAAGGGTCGTGTCAACTGTTCGCAAATAGGGCGAGACGTGACGATGTGTAATCCCAGTTGAGTCATTTTCAGGCAATATTTCAGCATTGGAAAGTTTGGCCAATAAGTGCAGTGAAATAGTTTTTTTTTACATTGTCATTTGTCCTAACAACTCTCTGTAAGTCTTCGCTGGGACATGAATAATCCGTTTCATATATATATGTCAGTTGCGCAGCGATATTCCATCACCCAAGATGTTGAATTGCCCTTCTCCTTCCCTCTCCCAGCATTGTGACATATTCTGCTTCCCGATTGCCATGCTATCTCCCGGCATTGTTTTTAATTCTTTAATTTTGGTTGTGAAGCCTCTACCCCGCCACCGCCCCACAACGGCCATTCCCAGTGTGAATTCAATCCCTCCACTCACCCAGACCATCATATTTCACGAGACGGGTCTACTGAAGCCAAAACGTCCCATTCCTTCTCAGCGACGACCACAACAACAACAGCAACGCGTCGCTGTTATTTATTTACTTGGCCTGTTATTTATCGCGGCTGGCGGCGGCTCACTGAAAGCGACTACTTTTTAATCTCGGTCGCGAAAAAAGTTGGCAGAGGCTGGTGGTGGTGGGGGGGGGGGGTTTAGGTGGAGGGTGTAAACCCTGAGACGAGACGTTAATTTGTCTCGCTCTGCTGCGTCTTGTCGTGGGGGGTGGAGGGGCACGGGGGGCATCCCTTATCGCTTGGGAGTGCGCGCGCCCACGTGGGGTTGAGTGGCACGAGAGAGGCACCTGCGCCCAGCCGCACGCATCCAGGAAACCACAGGGAGCCGTGATCGCAGAGACGACGCCAGGCCCTGCTCACCTGACAACAAAAACAACAACGAAAAACCACAGAGCATCGCGATGACGATGGCGATGATGATGATGATGATGACGACATTTTACCGCGTGGCATTTCACGAGCAAAAAGTGCAACGTTGGTGAAGAGGCGTAACGGGAAGGTAAAGGGGCAACCCTCCAATTGCTTGCTCCGGCCACTGCTGGTGGGAAGGGGGGACGTTCCACTCGAGGGGCGTTATAGATAGAGAGAATCTCGTGGGTACTTTGGCCTACTCTTTCAGGTAAGGCCAGACGTCGTGGAAGAGGTGGAAAGAATCCACACGTTACCCCATCACACACGCCCCCCCAGCTGCCGATCGACTAACCGCGGTGTTGCGCGTCGATGATACCGCTGGGTGAACTCAGCGACCCGAGTTTGCCAGGCGGGTGGCATGAGTGGTGGGTGGCATGAGTGGAGGGTGGCATGAGTGGCGGGTGGCATGAGTGGAGGGTGGCATGAGTGGTGGGTGGCATGAGTGGTGGGTGACATGAGTGGTGGGTGACATGAGTGGTGAGTGGCATGAGTGGCGGGTGACATGAGTGGTGAGTGGCTTGAGTGGCGGGTGACATGAGTGGTGGGTGGCATGAGTGGAGGGTGACAACGGATCCCTCACACTGGATCCTCCCTCCCGCACTCCCCCACCTCCCACACTCCACCAAATCCTCACGAACCAGCGCGGTGAAGTATGATCAAACAACCCTCGCCCCCCGTGGCTGATGCGGGGGCGTGGAGACGCCTTCGTTCGGAAAAAAACTAAACTAATACTTCCCCCCCACCCCAGCCACCGTTGCCTCCCCCCCCCCCAAACAAGAGGGAATATTTTTGTTCTTGCGGTGTGACTTTGTGTATTTCTGTCTCCTATGTGACCGATTACATCATCTTCGCTCGCTCTATGAGGATCCGCAGCGGAATACGAATGCGCGGAGCGTGCCCGTGTGTGTGTGTGTGCTCGTGTGCGTGTGTGTGTGTGCCCGTGCGTGTGTGCCCGTGTGTGTGTGTGTGCCCGTGCGTGTGTGCCCGTGCCCGTGTATGTGTGTGTGTGTGCTCGTGCGTGTGTGCCCGTGTGTGTGTGTGCCCGTGCGTGTGTGCCTGTGCGTGTGTGTGTGTCCGTGTGTGTGTGCCCGTGCGTGTGTGTCCGTGCGTGTGTGTGTGTGCGTGTGTGTGTGCCCGTGCGTACCCACGTGTATGCGGGCATTGTGCGCGCCCGTTAGTCATGTACCGCGTGCGATATCTGAACGGATCCTGGGCCGCCCCTAGGTCAATTCGGCCTCGAATGAGTTCCTGGTGTGCGCGTGGTGCCGGCCACCCACTCTCCTTGCGTGCCGTGGCGGCCTTCATAGGTGCGCTACTCTCCAACCACACTTAGCCCCGAAAGTCTGCTGAGGCTATACGGGGGGTGGGATCTGTGTCTCTGGGGCATCGTGCCCACGCGTGAACTGTCGAGTCTGACAGATTCATTCCCTCGCGCTGATCAGGGAAATAACATTGACGGTGCCATTATTTTGCGCTGTCCTTTCGGACATCACGCGACGGTCTGCAATGCCAGCGTTTTTTTTTCGTGTTTTTTTTTTTCAAAATTTTTATTTCGTATTCCGTCGACTCAACTTCTCCCTATTATTAGTATTGCCTCATTATTTTGTTTGAGCTTGTTTTTTTGCCGACTTGGCTAATTTTATTGGAGGTGATTCATTAGTTGGCTTTAATCCCCTTCTTGCGCGGCGAGGGTCGCCGCCGGGCGAGGAAGAGGAAGAGGAGGAGGCCGCGGAGTTCATTTTCACGAACAAAAAATTGAATTCAGGGTGACTCATCGCTCTTCACATTTCGCTATCCGTTCGTTTCGATTCGTGTTGTTGCGCGTCCGCGCTACCGCGGCACGCTGCCTCTCTGCGCTGTCCGTATCATCGTGCCTCACGGTGGCATTGCGCTTGGATTTAAGAGTTTTTCGCATCTCATGCAGGGTTCCCACTCCCGCCTCCCCTGACCCCTGGGGCATAGACGGAGTACAACTTCTATACTTGGGGGTGGTGGCAGGGGTTCGCTTTGTCCTTCACATGAAGAATTACGGGTGCATATAATTTATATATTTGTAATCTTAATTGTAAACTAAAATAAACTCACGAAGGGGCCCAGTTTGGGAGGGGCTCCCCCCCCCCCCCACCGTGCCCCCCGCAAACTCGACCTTTGCCCCTGGGCACGTGCTCAGCCCGCTTTGTCAACCCACGGCTACCCGGGTGAGGGCAGCATGTGGCGGTTACTTGAACGGAGTCGGGTGGCCGGTGGCGGCTTACGCTCCCAGCCGCAACAAGTGGCTTGCCTGTAACACCGCAACTGTGGAGGCAGCGGCGACGAGGGTTGGTGGTTCACCGGGCACTCGTGGGTGCGTGTCGACGTGGTGCCGTAACCCCATGGCTCATTATCTGAACCGGTCCTAGGCCTCCCCGAGGTCGACTCAGCCTCAAATGAGTGTCCGCTGCAGTGTGTAGTAAACATCGCCGCTAGGGAGACGTAGACGGCCGGGCGTGGTGCTGGCCACCCGCCCCCTCGCGTGCCGTGCCAGGCCTTCATAGCTGCTCGCTAACAGCACTTGCCCCAACAGTATGTTAAGGCTATACGGGGGGTCTTTGTCTTTATACCCTGGCTCGCCAGGAGAAGGCGTCACAACTGTTGGTGCCGGTCCACCGGCTGGTCGCAGCCTTCCAGCGTTGTCTGTGGTTCCTGGGCGATCGTGAGATGCAATGTGCATGACTGACGTTGCTATATACAGGGTGCTACCAAAAATGTTAACACTTAGATGGGACTCTCGTTTTCAATGGAAAAAGAACGGATAAAACTCCTTAACATGATAACAAATGTGATGTTAATAGCTTCAAAAAGTCAAAAAGTCTCCGCTTTGTGCACCATCACTGTCAACGCGTGCCTGGAATCTTCTCCAGGTGGTCTCCAGAGCCCGGAGGCACGACATCTCTTGTGTTTATTGTTGCAAATTATCTCAAGTATTAACATTTTTTTGAAGCACCCTGTATCTTAAACTAAACTCGATTGTTATAATTAAACTTCCCCACGCTGGTTCAGTGCAGGTTTGTCAAGGTGGAGGGAGTGCAGAATAACTGCGTGCCCACAACACCTGCTCTGACCACCTTCTACGGCATGATGGTCCCCCATCCGATCACTGTCCAGGCTCAGGCCTTGCTTCCGAGGTCTGACCACTTCGACGTAGGCTTCGCTTCTGCGGATATCATTGCGTGTTTATTGTATAGCGCAAAAGACCCGTAGTCTCCAAATGAGCTTGCACCGCCAATGTGATAGCCACAGACGGTTCAGTTTCGAGCGCACGACTGTAGCGGGGGAGATGGTGTTGGGGGGGGGCAGGTGCCTGAACGTGAAGCCCAATCTTGTTTGGGGACGATGACAGCAACGGCATCAACATCAGCAGCAGCAGCGGCGAGTTGGCAAATCAACGATTGGAGAGGCCGCGGTTGCACGAGGACGATGATGATGGTGATGATGATGGTGATGATGGTACCCCCACCCCCTTTCCCCCTCCCATCCGCCCACCCAAACCCTTCCTTGCCCGGTGAAAACCCAATTCTTCAGAACTGCTCTTATTGTGCGTGTTTAGTTTGCTGCCCTTTCCCCCACGCAACCTCCGATCAGCGCGGTTGGCAACAGACGTTCAAAGTTAGTCACGTGTCCCCCATTGCGTAATCCCAAGCGCCACGCGTCCCTGCAGGATCCTTCGCCTGGTCATAAATAAAGATTTATGTCCCTTATATAGGCGCTACGACTACGCCATCGCTGAGTTATAAACTACCGCAAATTATTCCCTTTGTCGGCGTGTAACTGCCGTGACATTCACTGGAATGTGGGGATGTTTTTTTTTTGGAACGTATCATCTAAACGTTACTTGTTTTCTGCGTGCGAAACGACGCCCACGTTTTACGTTTGACACGAGGAGTTGTTTGACCATACTTCACCACGTTTGTCAGTGCGGCTCTGTGAAGTAGGTGGGGGGGGGCAGTAGCGTAGCGGTTAGCGCGCTGCGCTACGAACCCGATTCCCGCTCGCGGCCAACACCAATGACGATTATCTGAACCGGTCCTGAGCCTCCTTCCCTGGGTCGACTCAGCCTCAAATGAGTACCTGGTTTGGCGTCTAAACATCGCCACTAGGGAGACAAAGGCGGTCGGGCGTGGTGCTGGCCACCTACCCCCTCGTGTACCGTGCCTGCCTTTAGACGTGCTCACTAACAGCACTTGCCCCAGCGGTTTGTGTGGGCTATACCGGGGGATCTTTTGTCTTTGTGAATCAAGTGTCCAGAAACCGATTCAGATGCCACTCGCCACTGGATTTTAGACGCGACCAGGAATCGCACTCGGGTCGCCGGTTTTATTAGGGGTTCCACGGTGGCTAGGAGATGTTAACTACCTCGCCTGGTATACAGGAGGTCATGGGTTCGAACCCAACCCTGACGCCTGCTGCTGTATATTTGGAGTTTGCATGTTTCTCCCCGTGGTCGCGTGGATTTTCTCCGGTTTTTCCCCTCCACCACTTAGAAAATTTTCCACGTGATAAGCCACTTCGTTCGGCTATCATTTGCTTCTGAAAAAAGTGCTCTATGGCTCGGACGGGGCTTTGTCGAGTATAAAAAAAATTACAATTAGCGCGATTCGCTCACCGAATGATGACTGCGGGGTGTACTAACCACACGCTAAAACCACGCGCCGTCTACTCCACCCACACAGCGGACGTTGAAGATGCTCCCTGACGGCATTCGCTTCGCAATCGTAAAGCAATTTTAGGTTAAATCTAAAAAGTTTACTTTTTTAAACTCGCTTTGACTTAAGATTATTTTAGAGTGTTATTTTTTTACAATATATATTCCTTCGCTAGCAATTTATTACGATGCCATTTTGTTTTGTGTGGAAATTGCTTTTATTGTTCTTGCGATTTAGTCTTTGAACAACGTTTTCCTTTATCTGCACAGCACTTTCATGTGCATCTTTTGCACGAAATCGTGCTCTAGGAATAGAGACTTGACTGATTGATTCAGGGTCCACATTTGCCAAAGAGGAGCACTCATCGCCGTCTACTGGCAGACAACGACTCTTGCGTTTCCCAGCTGGTGAAACAAACATCGACTCTGCTACCTCTCCGCTTCTAGATTTGAAGCTTTCGTGACTGCAAGGATTCATACTCTTAGTTCTTTCGGTAAAGTCACGTAGGTAAAAAAATTAAATAAAAATTAATACAAATAAAACAATAATAAAAAATCACGACGTTTCGGAGGCAACAAAAGTCAGATTTGCAGCAAATTTGCAGAAAATCTGACTTGAGTTGCCTCCGAAACGTGATTTTTTATTGTTTTATTTTTATTAATTTTTATTTCATTTTTTTACCTACGTGACTTTGCCGAAAGAACTAAGAGTATACCTCTCCGCTTGTCAAGTTAATATTTTTGCTGAGCGACAAAAACCGCGACGCCGCCATTCCTCGTCAACCCACGCTTCCATCTCCCCGTGGGCACTGGTTGGCCAACGTACGGTGCGAACGAAGTTCAACGCGCGTGCGAGCAGCCTACAAAGGGGCCGTCCATAAATGACGTCACGCGATTTTGGACGATTTTTGACCCCCCGCCCCCCTCGTCACACGGCGTCACAAAAAGTCAGACCCCCCCCCCTCAAATATGACGTCACAAAGCTCTGCCCCCCCCCCCCCCCCCAAAAAGAAAAATGGGTCCCGCCGCAAGGCGCCCAACGGTGCCTTCCCCTACCCCATCCTCCACCCCCTCCACCTCCTCCCTCTCCGATTCCCTCAACCTCTTCGTGGCCCGGTGCCCGCTGCCCCTCCCGCTGTGCTCACCCCAGCAGCTTGGAGAAGGTCCCTGGGAGACAGGAAACTCAGGATTCGCAGGGCCAGGCTCTCCGGCAGCAGAGCCACGAAGTCCCGGTGGTTCTTCGCCTGCGGGGAAAGCGACAAAGGGGGGTGACGGTGATTGACACGACCACTGCCCGTACGGCTACTGAATCCGACCGGTCCTGGTGGTGGTTCTTGTAGCGGAGTGGGCGCCACGGTGGCTAGGAGATGTTAACTACCTCGCCTGGTATACAGCAGGTCGTGGGTTCGATCCAGATCCGGATGCCTGCTGCGGTATATTTGGAGTTTAAGGTGTCTTTCTTTCATTATCATCATCATCATCACGGTGGCTAGGAGATGTTAACTACCTCGCTTGGTATGCAGGAGGTCGTGGGTTCGATCCCGATCCTGATGCCTGCTGCTGTATATTTGGAGTTTAAGGTGTCTTTCTTTCATCATCATCATCACGGTGGCTAGGAGATGTTAACTACCTCGCCTGGTATACAGCAGGTCGTGGGTTCGATCCCGATCCTGATGCCTGCTGCTGTATATTTGGAGTTTAAGGTGTCTTTCTTTCATCATCATCATCATCACAGTGGCTAGGAGATGTTAACTACCTCGCCTGGTATGCAGGAGGTCGTGCATGTTCTCCGTGATCTACAGATTTTTCTACAGGTCCTCCGGGGTTTCCTTCCACTTTTAAAAACACGCGTTTAGAGTATTTAGCCGCGATACATCTCAACATGATAAGCCACTTCGTTGATCTATCATTTGTAGCCAGGTTGCTTCTGAAAAGAGCTACGTAGCTCAGTGGGCCTTACCTGGTCAGCGGTATTGGTGGCCACGAGCGGCAATCGTAACTCGGGGGTGGCCGGGCTCGTAGCGCAGCACGCTAACCACTGCGCCACCGCTCCCCGTTCGGAGCGCGCGTGGCAACTGGGCTGGCCACGCGTTTGCTGCTGCGAGGCCCGGCGGGCGTGGCGCTGCTGCTGCTGCTGCTGGTGGTGGGATGCCACCAGCTGGTCACCCGTGGGTGTTGGCAGGCCCACGTGCGCCGCCGTCGCCACTGCTCAGTATGTAAGCAGTCCCTCGCCTCCTGCCCTGCCTCTCTTGAAGCCTCGCTGCCTCTTCTCCGTTTGCCCATTTCTCTTCCTCGTCCCTACCCCTACATTTCTCCCCTTTCCCTAACGCAGCACCCTCTGTCGTGGCCACCCATTGCTCATCTCTTGCACGCCCCTGTTTGTCCATAATAACGTTTTTATTTTATTTAATTAACGTATCGTTAAACCCTCCACCACCGACACGACCGATTAGTAAGGTTTGTCACCGAAACAAAACGTGCCAATTCGTCACTAGTACACCACACCGGTGTGTTGGAGAGTAAACCCACAACATTTACCATTCGAGTACGACGTTTCGCTGGCGATTACAACCAGCATCATCAGGCGATTTGTGAGAATTGTGAAGAAGTCCTCCTGCTTCGGTCCTTAAACAGAGTGAAGGTGATGCCATCACTGTGAGCCTATCGGGTGCGAAGCCCAGAGGGGGATTAATGCAACTGGCGAAACAGGCAACTCGACATACGGACAGGTTTGTTCGTATCTTTGAAAGTTCGTAAGAAGAGGCGTCCCTCTATAACTCTCGCATCAAGGCTGACCGATGATGATGAGAACCCGAGGGCTGGCAGAGGAGTTGCTGACAAGACGGTTCGATACGACCAAACTTCAAAAACTTTTCTCGGAAATGACGTTTAAATTCGAGTGACGTTTCCACTCAATGCGTCCCCCCCCCCAACCACAAAGGTGGTGACATCCTTGTCAACACGTGGGCAATGTTGCTTGGCGGCTGGTGTCTGTCTTCGGCTCCTCATTCTCTTACCACTCTCTCTCTCTCTGCGGCTGCACTGCACCACGGACCCCGGCCACCCGAGTTCGAATGGTGTACGGTGCTTTTTCTGCAATATTTTGCTGTCTTTTCTTGGATTTTCTGTTTGCACATAGTCACTTTAAGATGTTTTCTTGTTCATGTTTTTGTTTTTTTGTTTGTTGTGGTTGCAGCCGATTCAAGAGCCGAATGGCTCACAGGGCTATACCAAATAAATGAAACTTGAAAAAAATTGAAAACTTGAATCCCGCTCGTGACCGGTAAAACTGACGAAACATCCTAAACGCAGTGCTGGTGGGCCTACCCCTAGGTCGACTCAGCCTTAATTGAATTCCTTGGGGGATGGAGGGGGAGCCGGTCGGCCGGGCGTGGTGTTGGCCATCCACCCACCTATCCCCATGCCGTCGTACCACGCCGGACCTTAATAGGTGCTCGCTAACAGCACTTTCCCCCACAACGTTCTGCTGAAGGCTATACGAGGCGTCTTTGTATTTGTCAACCCTTTCGCCTGTATATTTGCAGTTTGTATGTTCTGCCCTTGGGCGCACGGATCTTTCTCAAGGTCCTCCTCTGGGTTTTTCCCCTCCGCGTGTAGAATCAACGTGCGTTAAGAGTATTCTGGCTGCGATACATTTCCACACGATGACAAGCCACTCCGCTGTAATAGCCAGGTCGCTTCTGAAAAGGACCTTTCTTTAAATTTTGATTAAAAGCTTTCGTGACTGCAGGGATTCATATTCTTGGTTCTTTCGGTAAAGTCACGGAGAAGGGAAATATTAAAATAATATAAATATAAAACAATAACAATTCTCACGACGTTTCGACTGCAACACAAGCAATCATCATCAGGTGTGAAATCCGTGGCAAAAAAAATTATTGCTGTGGATTTCACACCTGATGATGATTGCTTGTGTTGCAGTCGAAACGTCGTGAGAATTTTGATTGTTTTATATTTATATTATTTTATTATTTCCCTTCTACGTGACTTTACCGAAATAACCAAGAATATGACCTTTCTTTACATAGAGCTCAGCCGTGGGCCTCTTACCTGGCCACGTAACGTAAACATTCTTTTCGCTTATTCTGGAGGAAGCTCACAACTCACCAGAGGTCGGAAACGGGTTTTGATTCCTTACCCGTACCCGTTACCCGGCCGCACCAGGGTCGCAAATGGGTACCCGTACCCAGCCGGGTACGGGTACCCGTTCCCTACCCGTACCCTACCCGAAATGAGTGACAAACGGTTACTCACCAGTGACTCACGGCCTACCCGTACCCGTACCCGGCCGCACCAGGGTCGCAAACGGCTACCCGTACCCGGCCGGGTACGGGTAGCCGGGTATCGGGTAGGGTACGGGTATCGGGAACCCGGTTGCGACCTCTGCAACTCACCGCGAGGAGCGTGGACAGGAAGTAGAGCTGACGCGGGTCCAGGACTGGGAGCAGCCAGCGGAGGAAGCGGTTTCGCATCGCGTCTGTAACTCGGTTGGAAAACAAAACACACGAAGAGACCCACGAACGGCGGGACCTGGAGCGGTTGTTTTTTTTGTTATTCATCAAATGTTGAATTGTCACGCGAAGAGAGGGAGTCTGTCTGGAAAGTTTCAGCTCGTTGGGCTTGCAAAACTTCGTTAAAATCTTCGTCAAAGATTTGAAACAATGTCAACAGACTAACGAGGCAAGTTCAATAAAAGTGTGGAAAAAAACACAAGCCCACTCCGCCCACCCCACACACACACGCAATCTATTCGGTTCTATACATAAACTTTCTGGTTTATCAGAATCAGCATCTTTGTTTAGACTTGGAGGAGGACGGCGATTGGGCTATGAAGCTTTTTTTCGCAGATGCCCGGTATGGGCGGGTCAGCAATGTTACAAACAGTCGGGAGTGTGTTTAGCTATTGATGGAATGGGGTTTGTCCGTTACTCAATAGCTGCTGATTGGTAACCTTACTAATTGGCCGTGTCGAGTGGTGGCGGGTTTAACGACACATTTATATTTACGCACTCCAACCCAAAAACCTCTATTACTATATGACTATTATGGTAACTTTTCAGACGTCAATTTAACAAAACACAAAAAATCACAGTTCATCAGGAAACGTTTTAAATGTAATTCTAATCAGAATTACTCTTATTGTCATCTAATTCAGCCTCTCTCCTGGCTTCTCTATGTACGTGTCATTAAGAAGGGTCATTGCCCGAAACGTCGTCTAGTATATACACACGGTATTACTGTCGGCTGTGCTTGTGCACCGCTGCCAGTGCAGCAGCAGAAAAGCAGCGTCACCAAATCATTTGTCAAGTTAAGACGGCGGCATCTCGCGGGACGTGCACGTGGTGAGCGACGTTGATCACGTGTAATTCCCACCAGGAATAAACGAACAGCAACAGTTGTTGGTTTGCGAGGGGGGGGGGTGCAGAGAGTGGTTATTTAAAAAAAAATAACACGTGTAGCCGAGTGGATCAGTGGGTCAGAGATCCAGCACCGCTGAGATCCTAGTTCCGAATCCACGCTGAGATTCTAGTTTAAAATCCACGCTGAGATTCTAGTTTCGAATCCATGCTGAGATCCGAGTTTCGAATCCATGCTGAGATCCTAGTTTCGAATCCAAGCAGCCACCCGCGGTATATATAAACCCGATTCTCGAGTGTGATATCGAGTTGATGACGATCATGATTTCAGCCCGGTCACCAATGACTTTTCCAAAGACAAAAAAAAATCCCTGACCTTGGTGAAATGAATCCTATATTACTGCGCCCTACATCGCTGTAATCCCACGAGGATAAAATAAACGTCGGTGTGGACAAAACGAAGTGAGATGGACGTGGCTGGGTGCCAAAGTAATTTCCAGAACAGCGTTGCTGACTGTTCCAGCTGGCACCGAGGCACTCCTGCTCACGGCGGCTGGCTAACTCTGGAGTCCCTGGCTCACCTGAACACTGCACACAACCTTCCGTTCACTCTAAACTAAACTATAAACTGTTTTTTTTTATTTTACCATGGTAAGGTCCACTGAACTATGGGCCCTTTTTCAGAAGGGGCCTGTCTATCACAAATGACGACTCAACGAAGTGGCTTGTCATTTGGAAATATATAGCAGTCAAATAGCCTTAAGCGTATTTTGATTATAAATGTGGATGGAAAAACCGGAGGACCCGGAGAAAAATCCACGCCACCACGTGGAGAGAGAGAGAGACATGCAAACTCCAAATATACAACAGGATCGAACCCACGACCTTCCTGCATACCAGGCGAGGGAGTTAACATCTCGCCACCATGGCGGCCGTACTGCATAACCGCTAAGGTGTGCGGAGTGCGGTAATGTGTGGCCCACTGAGGGTATTTCAAATTCCTACTCGGCCCACTGATCCTTGACCCGTTGGCACAAAAATGGCTTTATCAGTGCCACACACAGGGTGGCAAACGCTTCGCAATGATTTTCTTTAAACATTTTATCTCAAGATTCCAATGTGTGTGAGAGATAGCAAAGTCACCGGGACAAAAAACCTCACTGAATAAGGACGATCAAATATCGTGGAATGTTTGCCAGAGAAGACTTTTTTTTGGTGGGGGGACGGACCCCAATGTGATGTGAAACTTCTACAAATGTTAAATTAAATACGCAGTGCGTCCATACGATATACAGAGTGTACGCTAAGCCTTCGGTCCATGATGGACACTGCTAATGGTGGACGCTGCCCATGGAGGACTCAACCCATGGTGGACACAGCCCAGGGTGGACACGATCCATCATGAATACTGAAAAAAATTGCCACCCCAGATGGTTTCCACGAACCCCCCCTTAGTGCACGCACTCCCCCCGCCCCCCACGCCAAACCCCCCGCCCGTGTGTCAAGATCCAACCGGCCCCCCACTCACCATCCCAGCGCCGCTCGTAGCAGTGGAACAGACGTCGCTGCCGACGAGAGAACCCCCCCCAAGTGGGGGGCTCCACGGCCGGGGAGCGGTCGTTGAGGGCCACCTTCCCCTGCCGAGCGCGGGGAGGAAAGATGAGACCGAGAGGGGAGGGGGTAAGGGTTGTGGTGGTGGGGGGGGGGGGGGTGACGAAGAGAGGGGAGTCAAACGACGTTTCACGGCTGACCTGGGGCACCAAGGGTCTCTCGGTCGTGGTCTGGGATGGAGCGGTGGCGCAGTGGTTCACGCACTGCGCCAGCTGCGAGTTTTACTCGCCACCACGGCTAACATCGGCGGCGAGCGATATCTGAACTGTGCTCCCCAGGGGGCCAGCCTCTCCGCGCTGACTTGCGTGGCGAAGTATGGTCAAACAGAATGGTCGAACAGTCCCCCGTGAACGACATGGTACATGGGAAGGCCTTCATGCAGCAGTGGATTGTCGTAGGGCCAGAGGCTTACGAACACGTGTCTGCAGGCTCACGCGGGCTTGCTGCTACTCGACAATACACTTTGCTTTTCATCTTGCCTGACGTGTTAAAACAAAAAACGCGTCCTGTCTTGTCCTGTAATTTTCTATCATTTATCGCGTTATATTTTTCTGACGGTTCCCAGTTCATTGCCCGGTCGAATTTTTTTGTATTTGTTTCATTTGGCTCTGCGTGAGGGTCAGTTCAATGCATTCACATCTTGATGTGCACTCAATATATATTCCTGGACATCGATGAAAAAAAGTGCTTCACAGCTTATCGGATTCCTCCGGCAATAAATAAAGGCTCTGATTCCGGTATCGGGCGGTGCAGGTGGCCGCTTTCACCCCCGGCTGCTGACGCTTGCAGGCCGGTGCGACGTGGATTTATGGGGAATAAAAAAGAAACATGCAAATCGCTAAGTTCCTGCGGGGAATCTGAGACCAGCATTTCCGGCCGTGTGGCCAAACACCGACTCGTGTGAAGTGGGGCCCAGTAGCTTGCGGTTATGATTAATTGCTCGGCGCGCAAGGAAGGAAATTACGTGCAGTTAATTGCCGCTAGATGGATGGGTTTGCGAGCGTGTTGTAATCAATACACTGCACAAGCACAGTCAGTGAAATAGAGAGTGGGAGAGAGAAAGAGGAAGATTGTTACATCACCATCATCATCATTCGCAATATATTGCCATTGTGTGTCAGCAGCCCAGTATTCCAGATATGAGGGCGCCATGGTGGCGAGATGTTAACTACCTCGCCTGATGTACAGGAGGTCGTGGGTTCGATCCCGACCCTAACACCTGCTGCTGTATATTTGGAGTTTGCGGTGTCTCTCTCTCATCATCGTCATCACGGTGGCTAGGAGATGTTAACTACCTCGCCTGGTATACAGGAGGTCGTGGGTTCTATCCCGACCCTAACACCTGCTGCTGTATATTTGGAGTTTGCGGTGTCTCTCTCTCATCATCGTCATCACGGTGGCTAGGAGATGTTAACTACCTCGCCTGGTATACAGGAGGTCGTGGGTTCTATCCCGACCCTAACACCTGCTGCTGTATATTTAGAGTTTGCGGTGTCTCTCTCCCTGTGGTCGCGTGGATTTTTCTCTGGCTCCTCCTCATGTTCCCTCCACGTTTAGAATCAACGTACATTTAGAGTTATTTGGCTGCTATAAATGTCCACGTGATAAGCCACTTCGTTGAGCTATCATTTGTGATAGCCAGGTCGCTTTTGAAAGAGCTACATAGCTCAGTGGGCCTTAGTTTAATGTCTCCTCCTGTGTCACCATTGGCAGTAAGGACTGCAATCAGAGGCAACTCACAAGAGCCCCGTTCGAGAGGGTATTTGGCCTACTCTTCTACGCTGGCTAAAAAAATGTTTTGCAAAGGGGTGCGAGTACCCACACTTTACCCCACTACGCCATCGACTCACCGCGTTTATACCACGGTGAGAGAAGGAGGCGGTGAGGGAGGGAGGGGAGTGAATTTAAAGTGACTCGCCTTCGCAGTTTAAAGCGCCGCGCCACGGGATAAGGATCGGGCCCCAAGTTATTAAATTTTAATCGCGTAAGTGGTTGGCGTGGAATGATTTCCCCGCGTTGCAATTTGATGAAGTGTGGCAATCAACGCTTCGGTTTAGAATGTTTAGTATCAATTATTAGTGTTGGGTTGTTTTTTTACAGCGGTGAATTAAGCAGACAACTCGTCCCTTCAGAGATCACTCGAACCCGCTATGCAAACACGGGACCTTCGTCACCATCGCCATCATCAGTCATGTTCCACCCACTGCTGGATGAAGGTCCCCACGAGCATTCGCCATCTCTCACCGTCCCGCGATACGAGGGATGCAAATCTAACTCTGCGGCGATGTTGACGAATGCGACGACGCGTGGACGGCGAGCGTGAGAATCGATGCTCATCGATGACTCCATGCGCCGTTGAAAAAAAACGCTCAGAAATATTGCCATGGGACACCTCCCTTGCCAGTATCAAAATATAGGAATAGGTTTTACCCTTTCTGGCAATAAAACAGCTGTGTTAAGATGTTAAAACACCAAACTGAAACCAATTTCAAGGAATCACGTCTGCATTAACCACATATACTTGTGGTGAATATGCAAAAAAAAACATGCTCTAGTAGTATATGATGATGCATTGTCTTTGAAACTGATTGGCCCACACCAGAGACAGCTTTCTGTAGAGCCTAGTCTCAAACAGTTCAAGTATATGTGGTCAATGCATGGGGGGTGTGGGTGGGTTGGGGGGGGGGTGCATGGGGGGTGTGGGTGGGTTGGGGGGGGGTGCATGGGGGGTGTGGGTGGGTGGGTTAGGGGGGTGGGTGCATGGAGGTGTGGGTGGGTTTGGGGGGGGGGAGGTCTTGAACCGTTCAATTTTGATGATCTCCCTAATTCACTGCCGGGGTGGGTGGCGGGGTGGGGGGTCGAGCAAGGAGCCGAGCCGGGGATTTCAGGGCCTATTTAATCAGCTCGATCGAGATGGACGACGCGCGCAAAACACGGAGAGGCGCGGCTGATAAGGCAATTAGACGCCTGCCCGAGATTTACATTCGTCGCGTGCGCGCGCGCGCGTGAGTGAGTTCGTGCGCGCGCGCTCGCTCGCAATAGGCACCAATATTCCACGGCGCGCCGCGTGGCAAGGGAGCTTGCGGGCGGCCTGCTAACGGTAGATCCTGAAACCCTTAGACGCACGTGGTCAAGGGTTTGATGGATCTGAGAACTGAGGGACGATCGTCATCGTGGTTACGTGTTCATGTGCTCTTGCGAAGGCGAATGATGGCTTATGTCGGTAACCGTTAAAAGAGGTCCGCGTGGCTTATGTCGGGTAACCCTTAGAGAGGCCCGAGTCGGCAACCTGCTTCTCCGGAGCTGCAAGGCTCCTCTTCAAGGGCTGCTTCGTGCCGTTATTTATTTAGGACCCACCGGCTCGTATTCGCGTGCATTGCGGCCCTTTGAAATATTGAGTTTCTTACCGAATTCAAACAAAAGAAACGTCTGTTCTTGTTATTTTGGTTGCCGGTCTCCCCTACGTTAGGAGAGATCTCCGTTGTAAGCGATTTGGCCGTTCGCTGGCTCTCTGTGTCGCACGGTTGGGGATCTCGGCGAGAAGCGTAAACCACCACCATCACCACCACCATCACCACCATCACCACCACCATCACCACCACCATCACCATCACCACCACCATCACCACCACCATCACCACCACCACCATCACCACCACCACCACCATCACCACCACCATCACCACCACCATCACCACCACCATCACCACCACCATCACCACCACCACACCATCACCACACCACCACCATCACCACCACCATCACCACCACCATCACCACCACCACCACCATCACCACCACCATCACCACCACCATCACCACCACCATCACCACCACCATCACCACCACCATCACCACCACCACCACCATCACCACCACCATCACCACCACCATCACCACCACCATCACCACCACCATCACCACCACCATCACCACCACCATCACCATCACCACCACCATCACCACCACCACCATCACCACCACCATCACCACCACCACCACCATCACCACCACCATCACCACCACCATCACCACCACCACCACCACGTCAACTCTGGTCGTCATCCTCGCAGCAGCAGCAGCGGCTTTTGACCGCTAACCATCGAACAAAGACGGCGGTCACTCCATCGCGTGGCGCTTTCGGATGCGCTTCTGCGGCCGTCTGGAACGCTCTTCCTTCCGATAATACGAAGCCACTGGAGCTATGCGCTTTTTAAATAATCTCGATTGAAAACGAATTTCTTTAGAACTGCTTTTTGTGTTTAGTTTGTTGATCTTCCCCCGCAACTCAGATTAGCACGATTAGCTACGTACGGTGCAAAAGAAGTTCAACATACAATGCACCCTTAGTCGTAACTTCTTTCGCACCGTACAAATTCAACATGGAAAGGCGCCCCGAGCCGGGAATCTAACCCAGGTCCTCTTTACTGCGAGACGCGTGTGTTACCAGCGCTGCCGACGCCGCTTGCCGCCGACGCGAAGAGGTGAAGTGTCATCGATGCGGCATTCAACTCCATGTGGACATCCCACGGAGATGGCCCCCGCGTCGTACGGGCTCACTACCGCCGCGCGCGCACGCACGGAGCGGCGACCGCGTAGTTTCCGTAACGAGTGCGGCGACACGCAACGCCGCGCGCGGATCCCCAGGGGTTTGCGAAATCGGCAATATTAAATCGACGAGATTGAATCCCATTCACGACGAGTTATTCATTATTACCTCCCCGTGTGCGCTGACCCCCCTCCCCGCCATTGCGCGCTGGCTAACGCGCACGTGCGCGTACACGTGTGCGCGGACGCATTCGTAACGCACGCTGCACGGTTACCTAATCATCGCCAGAGTGTGACATGCGAGCCGTCTGTTTTTGCACCCTCTGGCCTTGATAAGCCTAATTGCATATAAGCAGGCCGACGCGCGAGTCTGCTAACGCGAATGTAAAATTAATGATGAAAGCCACGGCGGCGCGCTCGTGGCGATGGCAACTCCTTTTCATTAGTTCGCAGAGTTGGCACTTAGCCAGATTAAGTAACGAACCCATTTCTTTTTTCATTGTTTCTTTTATTTTTTAGTCTGCAGTTAAGTCACCGGTGACCATCAAATCGCAAAATTTGAGAACGCGGTTTAGTCACTGCCGGCTGAAACTTGAACTCAAATCCAGGGTCTCAGCTGTGCCGGCGTTGAGGGGATATTGGAAACAAGAGGCCCTAATTAATGTCCTTGCCCCAGGACCCAAGCAAGCAAACCAGGATTCCTAAAAATAACAATTTTATTTTACCAGGTAAGGGCCACTAAACTATAGAGCTCTTTTTCAGAAGCCACCTGGCCACAAATAATATCTCAACGAAGTGACTTGTGTGGAAATGTATAGCAGCCAACCACTCTAAACACATGTTGATTCTGAATGTGGAGGGAAAATCCGGAGAAAGACCCGGAGAAAAATACACGCGACAGCGGGGAGAGAGACACGCAAACTTCAAATATATAGCAGGCGTCAGGGTCGGGATCGAACCCATGACCATCCTGTATACCAGGCGAGGTAGTTAACATCTCCTCGCCACCGTGATGATGAGAGAGAGACACGCAAACTCCAAATATACAGCAGGCGTCAGGGTCGGGATCGAACCCACGCGCTCCTGTATACCAGGCGAGGGAGTTAACATCTCCTAGCCACCGCCGATCACTCAGCATAGCAGAGACAGCGAAGCGTGAGTCGACTGCCCCCTCACCGTGCGCGTGTGCAGCGCGGGCAGGACGAGGCCCCCTGTCCTCCTCAAGCTCGGCCCCTTCTCGTCGCCTCGTCTCGTAGTCCCAGCAGCAGCACCTGCAGCTGCTGCCCGCTGCCAGTCGACATCTCTGCAGTGGAAGCAAAGACCGAAAGCACATCTTTAACCGTGCACCCACGCTACTGACATACAAATAGCGCCTTGACCAAATCGCGCCGGAATACCGCCCGATCTCGTCAGATCCCGAAAGCTAAGCAGGTTTTTTTTGGGAGGGGGCCTGTATCAGCGCTTGTTGGGTGAGCGACCGCCACGCGCACGTTCGTCGCTGCAGCGAGGCTCCGAGGGCAGCGGAGGGCAGCTCAGCAAAATCCTCAAATTGTACCGCACGTCCTGTGCTCCCGGCTCTGTTCCCACACATTCGCCGACGTGGGTCCGTGGAGGGGCTATTTTAAGCACGGTCCTTTAGGAGGTGGGACTACCCACACTTTACCCCTCGCCGCACGTGTTAAACCTTCCGATGCCGTGGCGGGCCCGTTTATCCTGCCGCGTGGAACAGACGTGTGTGGGCAGCGGTAGGCGCGATGCGCTGCAAACCCGGCGACCCGAGTTCGATTCCCCCTCACGACCGATAACAGTGGTGAATATTTGAACCGGTCCTGGGCCTCCCCTACCTAGGTCGACTCAGCCTAAAAAAAATTAGCCGTACCGGCCTTCATAGCTGCTCGTTAACAGCACTTGCTCCAACAGTCTGGTTTAAGGCTACACGGGGGATCTTAGTCTTGGTTTGTGATGTCCAGAGATCAATGTAGCTTGAAAGTACAAACAGATTAAATTGGAATGGGCCTAACTGCTTTATCGTCCATGAAGCAAACAAATGGCTCGCGGAGTCGTAAATTAACGTCGACGCTTGCTCGGCAATTGTTCTGCACGAGAACAACAACAACAACAAACAAACAATCACCCCGCTATGTTATGTAATCATTGCCTTGGGACTCATCTGCGTTGCACATTAATACGACGGTTAAAGCTGCCACAGTCCGCAGCGCTGCCGTGCTTAGTAGCAACAATAACAGCAGCACGACTGCACCGGCAATCCAGGGGTTCGCCAGTTCGACTCTCATCTCCCAGTGCGGCATTTGAAACGATGGGGGGGGGGGGGGGCAACGCGTCTTAAACTCACACCCCCACCCGCCCCAACCATGTCCACACAGCGGCAGATTTTATTTTTTACCCCCTGAGCTATGCGGCTATTTTTCAGAAGCGACCTGGCCACAGATGATAGCTAAACGAAGTGGTGGCCTTATTGCGTGGACATTTTATAGCGCAAATGCGCACTCTAAATGTGACCACGTACGAACGTGCACGCCTGCGTTTTAGTCGATCGCGTGGAAAAGCAATCCAATAAAACAAAACCCCACGAAACCCAACCAGCCCTCTGAGAAGCGATCCCCTCGAACTCCTTCTCGTGGAGGTCATTCCGCGGGCAGTGGCGTATTACAAACTAAACTACGAAGCGATTGTGATTTAAAGCCTTCGTGACTGCAGGGATTCATATTCTTGGTTCATTCGGTAACGTCACGTAGAAGGGAAATAATAAAATAATACAAATATAAAACAATTAAATTATCACGGCGTATCGACTGCAACACAAGCAATCATCATCAGGTGTGAAAACCACAGCAATAACATTTGAAAAAAGTGGTGCTGTCCGTGGTGCTGACGTTAAGAAAAAACCGCCACTTTTTTCAAATTTTCTTGCTGTGGATTTCACACCTGATGATGATTGCTTGTGTTGCAGTCGATACGTCGTGAGAATTTTATTGTTTTATATTTTTATTATTTTATTATTTCCAACTTAGTGGTGCACGAGCACAAATATCACAAATTCAACACAGCCGTCAACAACACGTGGGGCCTCAATTAGTGCTGCCTTAAAAAGATGATGAAGAATAAGAATTAACAAAATGCATCAAGCAACGTTTCGGGGCAAGGGCCCTTCTCAACGGCACATTGTCTGTGTTCACTGCTGAGGTCGTGACGGGTTTCGTATGCCCCCTGCTGCAATGTGCACCGATGCCCATTTTATTGCAGGCTATATTGGCACATACAATAAAGATTGATTGTACGTATGAGGGATGTATGAATGTTGAACTTCTTTCGCTCCGTACGCAGCCAACCGTGATAATCGGAGGTGCGGGATTGATTGATTGAGAGAGACCAGAGAGGTCACCAAGGGCCATCGCCTATTATGTAACCCACATTTATACTCTTTGGTTCTTTCGGTAAAGTCACGTAGAAGGGAAATAATACAATAATAAAATAAATAAACATTATAAAATAATACAATTCTCACGACGTTTCGGCCACAACGCAAGCAGCCGTCCTCAGGTGTCAATCCCGGCGTCACCTGTGTGCGCATGGGGGCCTCTGGGCAGCAGGTGGCGCCGTCCCTCCGCGCTCCCCGCGCTCCGGGAGGAAGACGCTGGGCTCGCGGTAAACCCACGTGGCACCACCGGGTCCGCCACGTCCCACCCTGCCCCTGGCTTTGCGCGTCCACTCCGTGCTGACCGGAGCAAAGGAGAAGCCGGGGAAAGCCCTTTGCCCTGAATCAAATAATAAGAGACGCGAGGCAACAAAGGGCAAAGATCCCCCGTATAGCCTTGACAGACTGGTTGGGGCAAGTGCTGTTGGGGAGGAGCACCTATGATGGTCGGCACGGCACACGAGGGGGTGAGTGTGGCCGGAACCACGCCCGACCGCCTTTGTCTCCCTAGTGGCGATGTTTACCACACACCGCACCAGGTACTCATTTTAGGCTGAGTCGACCTAGGGGAGGCCCGGGGCCAGCTCACATAAAACCGTCACTGGTGTGACGGTTTTATGTGAGCTATAAATGGATCATCCTTTATTGTAATGTATTTGAGAGCACAGCTTAAAATTACACCTCCATCGGCAACAAAAAAACAACGTGAATTAGGTGGGCCCGGGCGACTCGGGAGATTAATGCCGGGTTAGTGCGCTGAGCCGACACGGCCGAGAGCCCGGCTTCTAATCCGGGTTCCGGCCGCCCGCGATTAAACCTGAGTGGGTGGGAGGGGGGGTCTCAAGGGAATTGTTGACAAGGATGGTGTCAACCCAGTGACCAGTGACCCCGTAGAGAGGAAGACACCAGGATGCGTTTGGCGTTGCACTTAATTTTGGCTGAATTTCTGTTTCAAGTCTAACGACCGCCTGACACACTTCTCTTGAGATGGCACTTTATTGAAGACACGTTCACTTGACATCAGGCGGAGACCCCCACCGCAACAGCCCCGAGTCTCCCGCGCATCTCCCCCTTCCCGAACCTTCTCGCTGACTCTGGACGCTCGCTCCACCGGCAGACTCCACCGTTTGCACAAATGAACCACACAATGCCTTTGCCGATCTCGTCAAGCAGCATAAACCATCACGCGAACTCTGGTCATCCTAGCAGCAGCGGCTTATGGCTCGCCATCAAACAGACAGTCAATGCATCCCGTGCTTTCAGATGCGCTTCTGCGGCCGTCTGGAACGCTCTTCCCTCTGATATTAGGATGCAACTGGAGGTATGCATTTTAAAATCTAGATTGAAAAGTAATTTTTTTAGAACTGCTTTTTGCGTTTAGTGTGTTGTTGTCTTTCCCCGGCACCTCCATTTAGCGAGGTTGGCTACGTACCGTGCGAATGAAGTCCAACATATAGTACCTACATTAAGGCGGGTTCTCAAATGTAGTCAGTTGATGGTCTCAGTCTGGTTACCAACGACTTAGATGGAGACTCACAGACTCACACAGATATCCACAGGCGATGACAAAGACCAATAGACTAACATTGCCTGCGCTGTGATTACACCGGCTTCTCATCTGTAGCGAGCTCATGATCTCAGCCCAGGCCATTGATGAATGCACGGTATTGCACTGAATTTAACTCAATTTCAGTGCTGGGAATAGTCATGCATTTTTGTTTTAATAGTGTTTCAATGCATGGTATGCTTCCAACAGTAAATGCACTGCCTGGCATTGTAGGTGGTACACGTCCTTAGTTACAGAGCCGATTGTTGGAATTCCACCGGATTGTACATTCATTATGTTTCATAAACTCAAGAGGGGTGTTTAATCATTGTGTAATGACAGTCGAGTCTACATTCTGTGTGAGTGGACTAGTGGCCACGGAAGGTAATGACACGGGAGTCAGCCTGCAGTGCGAATGCACTAGTGGCCACGGGAGGTATTGACAGGGGAGTCAGCTGTGAGTGCGAAGGGATAGGTGGCCACGGGAGGTATTGACAGGGGTATCAGCTGTGAGTGCGAAGGGACTGGTGGCTACGGGAAGTAATGACAGGGGAGTCAGCTGTGAGTGCGAATGCACTAGTGGCCACGGGAGGTATTGACAGGGGTATCAGCTGTGAGTGCGAAGGGACTGGTGGCTACGGGAAGCAATGACAGGGGAGTCAGCTGTGAGTGCGAATGCACTAGTGGCCACGGGAGGTATTGACAGGGGAGTCAGCTGTGAGTGCGAAGGGACTGGTGGCTACGGGAAGCAATGACAGGGGAGTCAGCTGTGAGTGCGAATGCACTAGTGGCCACGGGAGGTATTGACAGGGGAGTCAGCTGTGAGTGCGAAGGGACTGGTGGCTACGGGAATGATCGAGAAGAGAGCGCGGTCAGGCGAAAGTCTCTGTGTAAGTCATTGGTAACCGGGCTGAGACCAACAACTTGCTATATTCGAGAACGCGGCTTGATCACGGTTGGGTGACTAAAAAAACAAAAACTTGGGCTGGAATAGCCAGGTTCTCGGCAGAGCCGACTCATTGCCCTCGATCGTCACACTGTGGGAGCCCCGGTGATGAGTGGCTGTAGGGGGTAGGGGAGTGGCTGTAGGAGACACCCACCCGTGTACATGGCGTGGCTGTAGGGGGTAGGGGAGTGGCTGTAGGGGACACCCACCCGTGTACATGGCGTGGCTGTAGGGGGTAGGGGAGTGGCTGTAGGGGACACCCACCCGTGTACATGGAGTGGCTCTAGGGGGTAGGAGAGTGGCTGTAGGGGACACCCACCCATGTACATGAAGTCGCGGTGCAGCGCGGGTTGGAGTGCGGTCCAGAGCAGCTGCGCTTGGGCCGGGCCTCCCCAGCGCACGAGCTCACGGAGCACGGAACAGCGCTGCGTGCAGACCGCACAACGTGCACGCGCACACACACAGTTCAGAACACCACGCATCCTACACACCTGCCAGAGTGACACACACCTGCCAGAGTGACACACACCTGCCAGAGTGATACACACCTGCCAGAGTGATACACACACACACACCAGCCTGGGTGACACACACACACACCAGCAGAAGTGATATACACATCAGCAGGAGTGTCAGCGTCATAGTCCAAATTTGCTCAATGAAGTAACAAATGGCACTGTAAATGACTCAATCGAGATTATGCAAAGCAAACGCTGGGCAGCAACCTCCCGAGAAAGAGTCATTCGATTCAGCGAGGCTTTTCTGGGTAAGAAGAGCATCATACGAATGACAATTTACGTACTTTATGCGAAATGTACAAATAACTTTAATGCTGTATATATGGCGGGGGACGGATCCGCGAAGGAGGTGTATTGTTCAACCATTTATTTTGACCACTTTCATCTCTCCAAAGAAACATTCCACATTGTTCAGGAGAAAGCTCGCCTCGTACGAGTTTTTGGTTTGTTTCGGACGACACTTAATCTTCAGCCCATCTTTGCTCCCTTTGTTGCATCTTGCAATCATGTCCTGTCGATTGTTGCCGTGGCAATGCAACTCGAACAGTGTAATCCGAACATCCGAGATGGTTATTACTTTCTCTATTTATTAAAATGCTCCTAATTCTCAAATTCAAACTTCGGGAAAACATTGTCCAAATCCCACCCTCAGTAGCGCCCATGTCATGATTCGTATTTCATCTAAGCATCCGGGCTGTATTGTCTCTGCGTGGCGCACGTGGTGTGGAGGCTGCCACCTACTACCGTTAATACGCGGTAACCGGTAACCTTTGGTACCTCATTTGCCAGTAAAAAATATGATAATTGTTTTTTTACCCTTTTATCTGGCAACAAAACTGACACCTTTTTTACGAGGAGTCATGTTTGCATAGACAACAATACCTGCAGTCATAATGCAAACAAAAAACATAACTCTGATAATGTATGCATACATTATCAGAGTTATGTTTTTTGTTTGCATGTATGCATACATTATCAGAGTTGTGTTTTTGTATTATTTCCCTTCTACGTGACTTTTCCGAAAGAACCAAGAAGATGTGTCGCGTTAGTTTGTATCGTTTCTTGTATATTTCGGTCTAGTTCGCGAGCCTAACCGTAGCGTAAGCGAATTGTTTTTGTTCTCACGCTCTGCACGAATCGTGACGAATCGTCTGCTGCAAGCGCTGGGGTTAGCAGTGGAGGGGAGCAAATCATTTGGATGACTTCAAAAACAGGCGTCTATTTTTATTTGCCTGACATTTCTGCCCGTGGAGTTGGGATTGCGATAACGCGCGTGCGCGTAACAACAGTACTTGGGAGTGGTCCCATTGTGTCATCCAGGCCGCCACAGCTTGCAACATCCTCTCGAATTCACGCTGCTGCTGCTGCTCCTGCTGATGATGATGATGATGCGGCTGCTGCTGCTGATGACGATGGGGATGTTTTGGGTCTCTGCGTTTTCCCGACGTCAGGAGGTCGGTCCCACCATTCACAAATCTTAGCCCCCGCAGTACATTCACCATCACCGTTGCCATGGCACCTGTGATACGAGGAGATTAATGCAGTGCAGGTTTCAAGGTGGCTGGCGAGTAGTCTCTGTCAGTATGCGCGCGGTCATTGATGGCTCAGAGAGTGGCTGTGGGTGAGAATTGACAATTTCGAAATTGAAAAATTAATTTCACAATTGCAAGATTTTAAATTGAAAATTACGACGTGATCATTGACAATTCGTTTTTTCGACATTGAGAACTCAATTTGTAATAATTGAAAAATCACACTTGATAACTAACTATTCAGATTTAATAATTGGACACTTGTAGCAAATTGTGACATTTTTTGCGTGACCCTATTTTGCAGCTGATGAGACGCACCGCCGATGTGTATGTATTATAATTCACTGTGTAACAAAATGTGTATTTTTTTTGTTCCTGGGTAGTAAGTGTTATTTTTCCAATTGATTATGCCTCAAAAGTACAGAAAATGTCTTATGCCTCCAAAGTACATAAAATGGCTTTTATTCCCCACAAACTTTGCTTTTGTGACCAGGACATTGATATTCTTAGGTTTTTTCGGTAAAGTCACGTAGGTAGAACATCATAATTAATAAAATAAAATAAAACAAAAATCACGACGTTTCGGAAGCAACACAAGTCTCCGTCATCAGGTGGGACCGTCACAGCCGGATCTTGATGCAGCTAATCCGGCTGTGACGGTCCCACCTGATGACGGAGACTTGTGTTGCCTCCGAAACGTCGTGATTTTTGTTTTATTTTAATTAATTTTGATGTTCTACCTACGTGACTTTACCGAAAAAACCTAAGAATATGAATCCTTGCAGTCACGAAAGCTTCAAATCTAGAATAAGGACATTGATATATTGAAATTTACCTATTTTCAATGAAAAAAACGTGGTGTGCATTTGTGTCATTCCTTCACGTCACAAAAGCAACGTTTTTGGGGAATAATAGCCATCTTCTTGGTTCTTTCGGTAAAGTCACGTAGAAGGGAAGTAATAAAATAATAAAAATAAAACATAATAAAATAATTCTCACGACGTTTCAGCCACAACGCAAGCAGCCGTCCTCATGTGCTTGTGTTGTGGCCGAAACGTCGTGAGAATTATTCTATTATGTTTTATTTACAGCCGTCCTCAGGAACCAAGAAGATGAATCCCTGCAGTCACGAAAGCTTTAAATCGAAAATTATGTAGTAGTTTTTAACCCCCCCCTCGCCCCGGCATCTCTCTAGCCACCCTGCGTGTGTCCACCCACAGCAGCATAAATGGGTTCACCACAGTAAGTCGATGGACAGGTCACGTGTGCTGGGGTAAAGTGTGGTTGTACTCCCACATCTTCCAAGACACCAAGCCAGCATGGAAGAGTAGGCCAAATACCCTTTAGAGGTAATTTATAGAGCTCTCTCTCACTCGTGGAGGCCCTTCCGGCAGCAGTGGCGTGAACATTTTTTTTTAAAGATCTACAAGACTGCGTAATCACGGAAAGGCAAACCGTGCAATGACTGGAGTTGAGAAACATTGACTTGGGGTGACTCAGAGTGGAAATATCACCGGATGAGACTCTGCATCGGTTCCAAATCCAGGCGCACGCAAACATTTGTTTGACCGTCACGTTGAATTTACGCGATGGACGTGACCTTTGTATTTTATACATTCAAATTATTACAATCAAGGTGACCTCTCGTGCAATTATAACATTTATAACGAGCGTCTGGAACTAGCGGTAGCTTATACCGCTATTGTAACTTTGGAGAGAGCTATTGGAGGACTGCTATGGTGAGGGCTGCTGTTTGTTCAGGGTTACGGGTCAGGCTGGCTGGTAGGGGCATTTACTAACAGCAATATGCGTCGGTCAGGTGGCGCGCATTGTTGAGCGCACTGCGCTACGAACCTGCCGACTTGAGTTCGATTCCCGACCACGACTATCGTCATCGGCGAGTGATATCGAAACCAGTCCTGGGGTCTCTTTCCCCCGTCCCCGATCCCACCCCCATCCCATGACCGACACGGTGTGGTAAAGCCTTAATCCAGCAGTCAAATTACCTAAAGGATGTGCAAAAAATGAATGGCACGGATGAAAGCGATTAAAATATATAATTAGCCTTAATTTGAACACGGAATAATAATTTTAAAAACTTAGAAACGGAACATGACATTATCAACGAATGCACACACTAATTATATTTGCACATTAATTCGGAGTTGCGATTAATTACCTGTGTCGGTGTTCAAGATCTGCCACCTCGCTTCCTCACCAGCAACGGCGGTCGTCACCAGCGCTTAGTGTAAGCGAGATGTATTTAGATTCTATTTTCTGAGAGTTCGACTTAACGTCTTAACGCTGCCGTGGCCGTATCTGCAAACTCGCAGGGGCTTTCAGCAAATAACACTCTTCCAACTATTCACAAACACCGCTCGCTACATACGCTGCAGCCTCAGAATTCCGTTCCCTAATATTATCGGAAAACGATGTACCTTCTTCCCGTCCTATCTCTCTATCTTGTACTCCGTGGCTGTATTGCCCCACTATCTGGCCGCTTTGGTGGCGCTTGCTGTTGCGGCTGCGGTAGTTACTGTTGACTTAGCCGATATGTGTGTGTGTGTTGTATTCCTGGCAACCGCGCTTGGACTGAAAACATTTGTGACAAATTTCCCCCCTCCTCCTCCTCCGAGCCGTCCCATCGCCTTCCCCCCCCAACCACCCCACCAAAGGATATGGGAAAAAGATTCCCCGTAATAGCCTTTAACAGACTGTAGGGGCAAGTGCTGTTAGCGAGCACCTATAACAAGCCGGCACGGCACACGATGGGATGGGTGGCCATCATCACTGCCCGGTCGCGTTTGTCTCGCCAGTGGCGATGTTTACACACCACACCAGGGTACTCATTTGAGGCTGAGTCGACCTAGGGGAGGCCCAGGATCGGTTCAGATGTATCGTCGATGGTGTAGGTGGCCGTGAGCGGGAATCGAACTCGATCACCAGGCTCGTTAGGGGCCATCCATTTAGTACGTACGCATGGAGGGGGGAGGGGGGGTTGACCCAAATGCGTAGGTTGCGTATGGGGGGTCTACTGACAATGTACGTACACATAGGAAACGGGGGGGGGGGGTAAAGCTTCGATAATAATTTGTCTGCATTGGCCTTCAAATGAGTTAGATAGTCCGGCGGTGGACTGTTTGCTTAAGCACGTGAACATTATTAATCCTTGATCGTTTCTGCGTGGATTAATTATCGGCTGTTCTATAGAATTCGGGGGGGGGGGGGGGGGCAAAAAGTACGCGTGCGTACAGGGAGGGATGGGGGGGGGTCAAGTTTTGACAGATTTTTGCGTAACCTACTCAATGGATGGCCCCTAGTGCGTGCAGCGTGCCAACCACTCACACCACCACCCACGCCGTCACATCCATTGGCTGTGCCGTCGCTTAGCAAAACGAGTGGGAGGACGAGAGGCTGGTGCGTGGAGAGCGTGACGCCAAACAGCGGGAGATGACGCCACTCGCAATTTAGCACTGCGCGCTAGCACAGTGGCATACAATATTTAAATATGTGAAAAAATAACTTGATACATCCGTTAATATCACCGGATGTCCTTGAAAGGACATGTATGTAACAGGCGACGCTTCGGTCAAAAATAATTTTTTTATATAGCACTTTACAATCCGGGGCCTGATGAGAATTACATTTTTTAAATGTTGTCCTGATGACCAGCTTAATTTTTTTTTATATCTAAAAAAAGGAAGAGGAACGCCTCACTGAATCTCGTGATCATTTTTCAGGAGGCTCCTGCCACGTCTTCGCAGCAGCGGGAGGAGGGGAATGATTGATATTTATAGAATCCCAATTTTGAGTGGTTTGCGAGTACATACATTTTTCAATTTTGGACCCTGACACCGACACATATCGGCCCCTTCTTGCGAATGACGTCATCACGAGGCCTTCAACGTTCACTCTGTGAAGCAGACGACACGTATTTTCTGCCGGCTAATTCGCCCCGTGGTATTAACTAGGGCGGCCACTGCATTCGAACTGTGGACCACACTGCAACAAGCGACGAACGCCCTCATACATTCCTTACCATAGCGAACTTTACCAATTGATATACAAGTTAATTTTTATTTCATTTTACCAGGTCAGACCCACTGAGCAATATAGCTCTTTTGCAGAAGCGACCTGGCCACAAATCTCATCGAAGTGGCTTATCACATGGACATTCTATCGCAGTCAAATACTCTAAATGCATGTTTCAGAATGTGAAGGGAAAACCCGGAGGATCCAAATGATAGATCCACGTTACTGCGGGGAGAACATGCAAACTCCAAATATACAACGGGCGTCAGGGTCGGGATTGAACCCATGCCCTCCGGCAAACCAGGCGAGGGAGTTAACATCTCGCCATCACGGCGCCCACATTATACCTGTTTATTCGTATTGTATATGTAGCAAGAGACGTGTAGACATTCACGCACATATACCAATGCAAAGGCACGAGAAGATAACAATGGATATGCACGCGTACATACAAAAGACAAAGAACCCCCGTATAGCCTTAGCAGACTGTTGGGGCAAGTGCTGTTAGCGAGCACCTATGAAGGCCGGCACGGCACACGAGGGGGTGGGTGGCCAGCACCACGCCAGGCCGCCTTTGTCTCCCCAGTGGCGATGTTTACACACCGCACCAGGTACTTTTTTGAGGCTTAGTCAACATAGGGGAGGGCCCAGGACCGGTTAAAATAATCGTCACTGGTGTTGGACGTGAGCGGGAATAAAGCCAGGGTCGCCAGGTTTGTAACCCAGCGCGCTGACCGCCACACTACTGACACACACGTACATAAACACACGTACCTATACACACGTACATATACACACGTACATAAATAAACGTACCTATACACACGTACATATACACACGTACATAAATAAACGTACCTATACACACGTACATATACACACGTACATAAACACACGTACATATACACACGTACATATACACACGTACATAAACACACGTACCTATAAACACGTACATATACACACGTACATAAACACACGTACATAAACACACGTACACAACTAATCGACACATTGACATGCACGCGCGCATATCGCCACTCACCCAAATTTGCTACAATGGATATAAACAAATGGAGACAAAGGCGGTCGGGCGTGGTGCTGGCCACCCACACGCTTCCTGATGCTCTGCGTACAGCACTCGTCCCAAGGGGCTGTGGGTGGGGAAACATTCACACCAACAGACCCTTGGGGCGAGCAACGAAACGGTGGGAATTTTGACTTAAAGCTTTCGTGACTGCAGGAAACACATTCCTGCGGAGGGAGCTGGTAGGAACGTTGGGTTGCTCGGTCAATGGCCAGGGTCAACGACGGCGTGGTGTATTCCGCAAATATGGCCGACTTTGAGGGCGGGCACAAGCCGGCGTGAGTAGGTGAAACGTTGAGTTTTATAAGGGCACCACGGGGTGACCAGCCCCTCCCCACCCAGCCCCACCCCTCCCACCCCCCACCCAGCCCCACCCTCCCCTCCCCACCCATCCCCTCCCCACCCTACCCACCCAGCCCCTCCTCACCTTCCCCTCTCCACCCAGCCCCACCCCTCCCATTTTTGGATACACGACGGACGGACGGACACAATAATCCCCTGTGGGCTAGTGGAACCAGGTGGTTCCTACCAGTATTAATATTATTTGGGTCTTTCGATAAAGTCACGTAGATAGAACAATAAAATAACAAAAATTCAAATAAAGTGAATTAAAATATTTTTTTAATATCACGATCGCAACACAAGCAATCGTCATCAGGAGAAATATTGGCATATCGAACATCACCGAAGAGGTCCGCGGATGTCCTCTCGGACCCTGAAAGCCCCTTTCACTCTCGCAGCCAATGAGCGATATGTGTGTCATCACACCAGCGTGGGTGGGAGCGCTCGCGCACACGTGCCCGCGCATGCTGTCACCCAGCCTACGTAACAAAGAGTTCAGTACGGTATTATTATTATGATGATACACACGCGCCCCCAAGCCCTTGCCGACCGGAGACGGGCTTCTCTGCAATTGGGATGAAGGTATATTATCCTGCACGGTCTTTCAAGCAAGGAAATGGAAATCACACAATGAAAGAATAACACACACGCACACAAAGCGAACACGCAGAGAAGCAGAGCGCCTCTCCCTCCTCTCTCGCTCTCTCCCCGCGTTGTCTCTCGACTCGAATTCGGAATTGGGATGAAGAGGAAACAAATAATGATCGCTGCGCCGTCAGCACGCGGTGTTCTAATTCTATTCAACTTGCGTTGATGTATGCAAGCTGAACTTTGTTTTTGCACCCCGCGTAGCCATCCGTGATAATTGGAGGTTAAAGAGACCAGAACGAGGCGAGATGGGGGGGGGGTTTAGGCAGGCCGCTCTTTTGTAAATCATGCATTTGATCAAAGAGAAAGATCCCCCCCCCCGCATATCCTGCGTGCGTATGGACCTAGCCTGGCACAGGCATCATCATCCTCAACCCAAGAGTCTACCCCGCGGTCTCAGTGGTATTTGGCTCACTTGGATACTCAACTCCCATACGCACTGTGGCTCGTATCTTTATTTTCCCATTCGCGCATTGTCTTGCCGATGATATGACACGATCGATGGTTACACCAGTGTCTTCGAGGAGAAATGTCGAAGCCAGTAGGTTCCACGCGATGTTCGGGTCTCGAATGAGGTGTTCTTTTGTTTCCCACAGACGTCCGGCGTTGTTCTCGCTCTATGCCATCGTCGTGAAGAAAGGGAGCACTCGGTAGAGAGGCAGCGAACTGCTTAGCAGCCACTCAAAATCGTGCGTGCTCTGACTTGCGTTCGTGTCTCTCTCTCTCTCTCTCGCCCAACAGAGTTCGTGCTCGCATTGCTCAGGCGCCACTCACGCTCGGGGCTCACACCAGAGGGATTGAAGTGGCTTTTAAGTGTTGTTCCAATGCCCCCGTGGATCATGCGCCCGAGAAATTGGCGGTGCTATAGTCCCGAAGCAGAACCAATAAGTGCGCGAAAAAGCGTGGGGCTCTCCAAGCAGCTCTCGAACAAACCTCCGGTTTCACGAAACAAAAAGAAACAAGGCGTGCATTAAATATCAGCAGAGAAATTGAAATCCCAATTAACGTAAACTAATTAACTTTAAATGCAAACTAGTCTCGTCTCTCCATCTTGTCTGTAATCTCACGTAGTTATTTATGTCTGCATTTCTATTCTCTCACAACATCTATATATATCTTCTGTATCTATTCTGCCATCTCACTATCATTTTTTCGATTGAAAGTGGGGCCCCCCAAAAATACATTATGTTAGCCCCCCCTCCCCCCAATGAGCTTGAAGCAACACCACTGCCAAGTGGTACTAGTAACGAATTGGCACGTTCTGTTTACGTGACAAACCTTACTAATTGGCTGTGTCGGGTGGTGGCGGGTTTAACGACACAATTATATATTTACGCGATCTGACCCCAAAAAAAATCTGTATTAAAGAGATACATGGATTGTTGCTTCCGGAGATAGCGATGACATGGGGAAACCTTCATTCGGCAGTGGATAAAACATGGATTTGTATGAATGAGCTACCGCATATTAAAACTGCACACGTGATCAATATTATTATACTCTTCACGTTTTAAAATGAAGTTTTTTTTCCAGCATGCGGGGGCGACGATTGCTATGTACAGTATTTCCCAAAATTAAGTAGCGTTTTTTTTATCTGACGCCCGCAGACAATGACACCCTTTACCCATCTTTGGACGACGCCACGGGACGCCGCGTCATTCCTACGATTAACGACGCACGATTAACCAGGGTGTCCTGCTGGATTCGATTCGTCGACCTCTGCCAACAAACGGCGGGCGCTGGGTCATGTCACACAGCCCCGAATGCAGAGGCAGCAGCTAACACCTTCGACAATTACTACTGCTACTACTTACAGTAATCTGATCCTAGAATAGACAGGAAGGTATTAACTACAGCCGTAACTGGAAAAATAAAACACGCGGCGCATGCTGTTGTTGCTGCCCAGGGTTAACGAGCGCTGCACAGGCGACACAGTCGCATCGGACGTATTTGGGGCCGTCCATAAATGACGACACGCACCTGGGGGGGGGGGGGGTCAGACAATGTGTGACGATGTGTGACGAGGGGGGGGGGGGTTATAAATGTGACGTCACATCAAAATGCGCAACTTTAAATAAATATAGACAACACGTTCTACTTAATTAAATATACTTTTTGATAAATGTTTCCTCCTACAACATCATAGTGCAGCGCCACATTAAATACGCACTACAATGACAATAGTTTAAAGCGATTTGAAGCATGTTTTATTTGGGGGGAGGGCAGAGCTTTGTGACGTCATATTTGAAGGGGGGGGGTCTGATTTTTTGTGATGTCGTGTGACGAAGGGGGGGGGGGGGAGGTCAAAAATCGTCCAAAATCGCGGGACGTCATTTTTATTTAAAGTTGCGCATTTTTACGTGACGTCACATTTCTCACCCCCCCCTCGTCACACATCGTCACAAATGTCGGACCCTCCGCCCCCCAGGTGGTGACGTCATTTATGGACGGCCCCTTATCACAAGACAGTATATAACTATAGTACAATATATTTATGAAAAAATATATTTTATTCATCAAATCCTGACAATTATTAATCGAATCGCCGGTTAGTATGAAGGTAAATGTCACACCTTCAATATTATACTCGATTAATCCTTGCGTCTCTGAAACCTGGTATTCTCTCAGATCTCTAACTAAAATACACATACGGTTATTATGTCAATAACGAGCGCACACTCGTGAGTGAGTGTTTAAATAGAGAAAACCAGGCTATTCAGATGCACCCATGTACATCATCAGTAGAGTGCAATGACATGTGCGATGTTACGTTTCCTCCCTGGGGATATATTACTGGTGCCTGATCCACGTGTTCCAACGCATGCGCTCTATCAATTACAGCGGCTCCTTCCAGCCCGTGTGTGTGTGCGTTAAGCACAAAATCGATGGAAATAAACATTCAAATGGGCTCACGCCGGGGAGATCACTATCGTGGAGATGGAGTGGTCAATTAAGGACACATTTGAGATCTTCTTTCAATTTTGCAAGACATTGAAAATGCCCCCCCCCCCAAAAAAAATATAATGGAAATTAGAGGAGGGTGGTGGGGGTGTTAATGTTCATTATTTTCACAAAGGGTTAAAATGCGTTTTAAAATTAAATAGCAAAACAAGTGAGGCAACATCAATTTGAAAAAATATATATAATCATTGGACAGATAATTAGAACAAAATACATTAGGATGTCAAGGGCTGAAGGCAGACGGGGAGCTGTGGGATGAAATACGGACAGGAGCATGAAAATAGTTGTTTTTTATTTGATAATGAAAAATAAGATGGCAAAATACCGAATTAAATCTTTCAATCAGCGCACAGTACAGTATCTGGTTTGCTACATGGAACCAGAAACAATGAAAACTGACAAATTAAACGTAACACAATCTGAAAAACCGCGCACAGAAGCATGGATATATATGGATGCTGGGAATTGTAATGACAACCAGATTGATGGAGTAACGTGGATCAGAGAACAGACACAAAGCAGAGCTACCCGTGTTGACTTCTAAGCAAAGTACGTGGGCTTTGGTATAGGGCATGTGATGTTCCTGGAAGGGATAGCAGTTTGATGGACAAAATTAGTGACGTGGTAGCAAACGAATGAACCCCACAGAATAACCACCACGGAGGTGAAGGGATCATATAACGGAACTAGTTTTTTTTTATTTTTCCAGGTAAGGGGCCGTCCATAAATGACGTCACGGGATTTTCGACGATTTTGACCCCTCCCCCCTTGTCACACGGTGTCACGAAAAGTCAGACCCCCCCCCTCAAATGTGACGTCACAAAGCTCTGCCCCCCTCCCAAATAAAACATACTTCAAATCGTTTTAAACTATTGTCATTGTAGCGCGTATTTAATGTGGCGTTGCACTCTGATGTTGTAGAAGAAAACATTTATTAAAAAGTCTATTTAATTAAGTAGAACGTGTTGTCTATATTTATTTAAAGTTGCGCATTTTGATGTGACGTCACATTTCTCAACCCCCCCGCCCCCTCGTAGGTGCGTGACGTCATTTATGGACGGCCCCTAAGGTCACTGAGCTACTATGCATTTCTTTTTCAGAAGCGACGTGGTCACAAATGATGGCGTGGAGATTTATAGCAGCCAAATACTCTAAACGTGTACTGATTTTAGATGTGGAGGGGTTAAAAACCGGAGGACCCGGAGGAAAATCCACGCGACCACGTGGAGAGAGACACGCAAACTCCAAATATACAGCAGCAGGCGTCAGGGTCGAGGATTTAACCCCACGACCTCCTGTATACCAGGCGAGGTAGTTAACATCTCCTAGCCACCGCAATGCCCAGTATCAGCTCATGAACAGGAGCGAATCAGATTGTGGCACATCGCAGTAGATGGATATACAGTGGATGATGTTACCACACGTTTGTTTGCAAAGAGCAGTTACAGCAAAAACAAACAAACAAACGAAGGCAATAAACACGTGCGCGTCCTTTTTCAGAGACAGCTTACTGCATCGTTTCGGATTACATGCGCGGGGATAATAATGAACATCTGTAGCAAAACCCCAAAAAACGTGCCACACCAAATGGAACCAGGTCCCCTTTACTGAGTAATAACGCGTGCAAGCCTCGTGCAATTTCCCGGTCACCCGGACCCCGCCCCTCAGCACCCCCCCCCCCGCCTACTTAACCCCCACCCCCCTCGGCCCCCTATCCCTCGGTGCGCTCGACTCCCCCGGTTGGCCGCAGCGCCTGACCAATGGGAGCGCTCGCGCTAAGCAAAGGACGCGCGAATCTCGCCGCGCTCCACGTGCGCATCCGGGGTACCGGGCGAGAGCTGTAGCCAATGAGCGAGCCGCGTCACACCGCCACGCCCCTGCCCACATCTCCACAGCGGGAGGGGGGGGGTGTGAAGCGCAATCACGTGGTCGCGCCGCAACCAATAGGCGCGGCGCTCGGGGTTTTACGTAACCGCTTTGCGGTGAAGTGGGTCACGCGGCCGAGCGCGCGGGTAACTGGGGGGGGGGGGGTTGGAGAAATAAGGGGAGGGGCCGCGGGGGGTGTTAGGGGGGGGTGTTTGGGGGCGGGGCCTCGCGCTGTCCACCAATCACAGCGCGCGCTCTGTCCGCCTGGTCGCGGTGATCTGGGCGCGAAGTCATTGAGACGTCGCGCTGAGGCAGCGAGTGGTCGCATCGCGCAAAGTACGCGGCACCAGTCGGAATATTTAATATTTATTCGCACGGCAGAGTATAAAAGATATATATATAAGCGGAATCTGTGAGGATAATTGCAGGTTTGTTCCCTACCCCCCCCCCCCAACTCATGAATATACACGCGCGCATAAGAAATCGATCTTTATTACCGCGCGTCATAAAACGATTATCGGCGAATCAAATCGTAAAATCTGTGTTTGATCCGCGGTGTATACATTAGGTGGTCGATGTTGACAGCGGGTGGCAGCGATATATAACGTGAAAAATAGCGCAAAATGAAGCGTTCCAACTCTTCGTTGTACACACCGAGAGAGCGCATGACGTGTGACTTGTAGATTTCGTTAATAAAAATAAATAAAAGTCCAAGTCAAACTTAACGGTGAGGAGGATTCGTGAGGGCGAGCAAAGCATCTTCCTGTCCGCCCGCTCTATAACCTCACCGCAGCGCTAAGCTATCACGCCGTCGCATTCAAGATCGACGTCAAGTAACGAAGAGAGAGAGAGAGGCAAGGCGGGAGATACGAAGTTTGTGGCAGCAGGTGGCGGTGGTGGTGGTTGCAATGGTTCTCAACTCGATCCACTGGTTCCGCAAAGGGCTTCGTCTTCACGACAACCCGGCGCTGCGCGAGGCTCTGCAGGGCGCCGACACGGTCCGCTGCGTCTACATCCTCGACCCCTGGTTCGCGGGCGCCTCCAACGTGGGCATCAACCGGTGGAGGTGAGGAAGGGGACACGGTGGTGGAGGTGGTGGTGGTCGTGTGGGTTGGGGTGATACAGAAAAATTTAACCCGTAAAAACAAAGTTTTTCACTATAAATCCTTTATATGCGTAGCATCGGGGCGGCTAGAGTCCTCTCGTCCTCTGGCTTGAGATGGCTGCCACCTATGGGTCAGATGATTGTCTGGCAGCATTAAACATTTGGTAATTAAATATTTAAAAAAATTTACCTAGACAGCGTAACATTTTGGAAAAAAATTTTTCACGAAAATGCATTGTCACGCACAACGAGTCTGTGTGCAAAATGTCAGCTCGATTGGATCATGGGAAGTGGGTTAAAAAACGACTGAAAGATTTGCACGGTCCTAAGCAAGCAAGCGAACTTAATATAAAGGATTTAAAAAGGGGGCACGAGATGGGACCTCAATGGGACACTGCGACAATTGGATAACACTGGTCAACAACAAAAATTCTGGCCTGGAATTTTGCAGTTGTTTTAGACTAATTTCAGGGTGCCGATTCCAAATCTGATCTCAGATTTGCTCTATCACATCTCATTTGTATGCTTTCGGCATACCCCATTTTCATTGATTTTACCCGAAATTAACTCTGTCACTTATGATGGCAAGTTGTTGCGAGTCAGTGACTGCTTTAGTGTTAAAATATGGTGCTGTCTTTTTAGGATAGTGTGTTTATAATATTATTTTACGTAGATATCCACATTTATTTAATATTTTTCTTATACAGTTTTTAGTGAAAATGCAATATTTGATATCTCAAAAACCTGATGTGATAGACAAGAACAGATTTGGAATCAGCACCCCAAAATTACATTAAAACCGTTGGAATACCTTATGCCAGAAAAAGTGTGTTGACCAGTGTTATAGTACACAGGCAAGGTAACGGAGAGGGCTCATGGGGGACCCCACCGGTTTATAAGAGGGGACATGGAGACACATGTACCCGCACGGCTAAGGGAAACACATGGGGTTACACGGGGGATTTGGGAGGACGTGAAAGTGCACGGGGACCCCATGGGGATACGGGAGGGACACGGGGATAAATGGAACACCGCGCGCTGCGAAAAGGGCTCCAACATTTCCACCAGCCGATGGAGGTGAGCGTGTGGGGAGACTCAGAGGGGACACCGAGAACCACGGGATCACGGTGACCCACTGGGACCCACAGGTGGACACAGGTGGACACAGGAGGATAACATAAACACGGGGTGGATAATGGGTCACCGGCACCTGCATTTGACACAGTGACCCATTGGGACACTGCGACAATTGTTTTATTGAACACTGGATTTACTTGGACCCACTCGGACCCACTGGGACAGTGGAACATTGAATCCATGGGCACCAGGGCAAATTCATTAATGAATTAACCATAGAGTCAGGAGCCAGGCAGTGAGTCAATTGGACCCCCACAACACGAGGGATTTGGATATAAGTGAGCAAGCCATGAAGATATCATTTAGATGTGGGGGCATACATTGTGTTCAGGTTGAATACCACTACATCTAAAGTTTGTTTATGAGATGATCTTTCTTCATAAGGCACAGTGACTCATTCTCAATCACTCCCATCATACCTTGCGACTTTTTGGTTTTCTCACACACGACAAAAACGTATTGCGCATCAAGATATACAAAAATAATTACGGTGACTGGAAGCAAATCATCAGTGAAGACTGAACATCACGAGTTGCTTCTGATCTTATTGCCGTACAGACATTTTTTTGTTTGAAATTTAAATAGAAAAGATGCAAATGGCTCAAAGTGAAAGCACTCGGCGATCCTGAGTTTTAATCCATGAAGCCACCGCTGATTAAACCGGTTTCTACCTAGACCATCCGATAACATGGAAGGGTTGTACTGCTATGTAAGAGATCTAAACGGATTCTTCATCTAATTACATTACATCTATACCACAATCTGCTGCTCGAATCAGATCTCTGTGCAGCCCTGCTACAGGATATCTATAGTTCCCTACAGATCAGGGTGGTTGTATCGGTCTGCCCAACATGTCCAGGAGCTTCACAGCCAACATTTATTCGTGGAGAAGAAGTTAAGAGGCTTCCAACTGGTCCTGGACCTGCAGCAGCTGAACAAATGTACGCAGAAGCGCTCTTCATATAAATGAAAAATAGGGCCTCTATAATCAAGGCAGACCAGGCGATTATCTCATGTCCATCGATTTCCAAGATACCTATTTGCGTGTTCCAGTGCTGCAGGTCCATCACCGATTGCTGGGGGTTCACTGTCAAAAACACTCAATTTGTGCTCTTCGGTCTCCTCTTCTAGTGATTCTTGGCCCCCTGGTGTTCACCAAGGTCGTATATATAATTGGTTATAATGTCAAACCAATGTGGTATTTTAGTATAGATTAAGCCAATTACATTGATCACAGCAGCAATTTATGAACTGATAAATGTGTATTAGTTATACACAAATATAAAACACCTAGCTAAGTAAACAAGTAACATTTTAAATGTATTGTTATATAGGTAACATCCAATATTCAACTTTTTTAGCATCTGAAGGCTTTATTTCCACTAAGCAACCCAATGCCAAGTGTGTCTCTTATAGAGCATCTGTTACTATTTATGGCTCTGGCTGATCGTCTTTGTTGCTTAAGACTTTGCTCAGAATACCAACAGGCATTTTAGATTGTCGCGGAGAGAAAGAGATATCTGCATAATGAAGAGAGTGTAGAGATAAATAGATTAATGTTACCCAAGGGGCGTGTTCTAAACTGTCAGCTTTAAACTCCTGTAATTTTGCAGTGGCAATTTTATACCATAATTATGTTGGCAGCAGGAACCTTATTTTATTCATAAAAATAGTCGGTGAAGTTTTGTGGAAGAAAACCGAGCAGTTATTATACAGTAGTGTGGAATATTTCTCACTTTACACTATTATCATCAGCCCTGGCCTATGAACTTCTGGATGAAGGACTCCCCACGCTTGTCATCTCTCATCTCATGTCTTAGTGATGCCAAAATAAAACTTTCTTTTGAACATGCAATAATGTCATCACTCTCTAGCCATCTATGGCAGTCATCCTCCTAGATTTGTTCCCTCCTTTGGATGGCATTCCATCACCAGTCTCATCCATCTGCTATCATTCATTCTCACGATGTGTCCTGCTCAAGCCCACATACTTTCCTTAACAGTCTCTTATCATAGCTCTGATTTCCATTCGTTTACATTTGTTTTCATGTGCTATTGTTCAGCCACAACCTGCCCTTGCCCAGCCACATTATTTTAAAAAATGTATTCCAATCTACCTTAAATAAATGCCTTAGATATACATATTCTATTTGGTTTTCCAGTTGTGTGCCTCCCAACAATACTGTATTAGTTTTTATTTAGCCATTGTATTATTGTACGTTTTTGTTATTCTGATTTATCTTGAGCCCAGCGTTAAAACCTTCTTTAAATATTTTTTTTATTCTGAGATGGTTAATACTTTTTCCATTCATGGTTATGGCTTTATTACTCCAATTAAATTTTTGGAACACTAATTCCAATGTTTCTGTGAATTACCTTGGTAGCACTGTAAATCCTTGCCTGTCTTTTCTGATTTAGATTTTGTTACTTTATTCAATCTAAGCCTGAGTAACTGCATCAATTTTCGCTGAATGAAATACCACTTTTAGCTTACAAAAGCCAGAAATCATGTTTTTTCTATTACTATGGACCACATACATAATATCAATCAGATTCTATAAATAAACGAAATGGCCAAATATGAAATGCCAAATGTTACACTGTAATATAGTATTTAAAATAAACTGAATATTCAGGGTTCAGGTTAAACTTAACGTATTCATTTATTTTCTCCGTATGTTTTTTATGCTTTCCAACATATATTCAAAACACTTTTCTAGTTCCAGTGGGGGAGGGGGGGAATCCAATCTTTTTTACATTTAGCCGATATATTTGTATGGCTTTTGTTAGCATCATGAAAGGAGGTATTGTAAGCACAGGTAAGCTGACGTCAAAGGCTTTTCATTCCCAACACCGCCCCAAACACGTCTGATCCTCAAAACTCCTCATCCCACTCACTTCCCTCCCTAAAAATCCCTCTCTTCTGTGCACTATCCTCCACACCCTTGCATTAATCTCTCTGGATTTGTGGTGTTCGCCGACTCCAATTAGGACCCATCATTAATGATTCCGAAATGGCCTGGTATGTGGCTCTGATGTCTGCCCTTATGACTCTAATTACGGTGCTTGGCAGTCAAGAGTTCGCCAATGGTCTATTGTGCGCTTTCAGCGGTTGGCTTGCATCAGCCTAAACCAACGCCTGGCTGTTTTTCAAACGTCGCTGACATCAGCCGTTGATGCGGCCTCTCCCCTCTCCGCGTTAAATGTATGCTTAAATTCTACGACTGTACTGTTTCTCAAAGCCCCACGGTGCATGTGTTGCAATTGTTGAGGTGCAATAATTTTAGAGAAATTAGTTTAAAAAAACACGTGGGTGGAAAAAATTTTCGTTATAATCTGTTTATTTTACCCCACAGGTCTATTGTTGCATATATTTTGTTGACATACCAGTACGTTACAGTGATTCAAATAACTAACTTTGTACTTGGTCATCACTTGATGTAATTGACCTCCTATGAAATGTACTACTATAATGAGCCAAGTATGTCTGTGTGTCCCACGCGTGACGTCACTCCACGTAGGCCAGCCCCCATCATTAATGATCATGAGCGGGTGACGTCTTCCAAATGGACACCCCCCACCATTCATATTAATTAGCGGGTGACGTCACTCCACATTGAATAGCCCCCCACATTAATAATCATGAAGAGGTGACGTCTTCCAAATGGACACCCCCCACCATTAATATTAATTAGTGGGTGACGTCACTCCACATTAAACAGCCCCCCACATTAACAATCATGAAGAGGTGACGTCTTCCAAATGGACACCCCCCACCATTAATATTAATTAGCGGGTGACGTCACTCCACATGGGGGGGCGAG